ATCTGATTTGCATGCAGTTAACCTGGGTTCAAGCCCTTGCATTCCATATGGTTCCCTAAGCCGAGCCCAGAGTGATCCCTGACCACAGAGCGAGGAGCAAGGAATAAGTCCTGAACCCTGAGCCCAAAAACCAGTAGATGTGTGTGTGTGTGTGTGTGTGTGTGTGTGTGTGTAGTGTGTATATATCTTCCATGTCTCTAAACTTCAGAGCATCTGAAATAAAATTCCAAAAACTGTCTTATATTCTTGCTGGCTAATTATAATATCTGGATCAGTTTTAATTACTTAATTTTCTCTTTATTAAGTATTTTGTTCTTTTAGTGTCTTATTTTCCCCTATACATATCTGTTGATCTTAGACATCAAATATCATGACTTTTTAAATCTTATTCAGTGCTTACTATTTTTGTGCTCCTACAAATATCTTTGAGCTTTGTGTTAACAATTAAGTTAGCTGAAAACAATCTGATTTTTTTGAGTTTTGCCTTCAAGGCTGATTAGGTATGGTTGGAGCATTGCTCATGTTGGAGCTCATTTTCGCCATCTCTGGGCAGGACTTGACTTTGTTCCTTATGCAATGTCTATGATCAATTATTGGAAGAGCTGATTACTATCAATGAAAGTCAAGGGAACTCTCTGAAGATCTCTAAAGTTCTCCGTATGTGTAGATCTCTCCTTTCTGAACTTCTGTTTTAGAAACTCTGCTGCACTGTTCTGCCAGCAACTTCTAGGAAGTCTTGGATTTTTCTTCCCTGGTCTTCTGAGGCAGTGAGCTAGATAATTATAGGACTTATTTATGTCTCATGGACCATTGTCCTTTGTTGCTTGATGCCCAATATCTTGTGACATTGAATATATTCAGAATATCTGGGGCTGCCTTAGCAGTGGGGTATATTCAGGCCTCCCAGCTTCATCTTGATCGGCAGAGGCATGCCCTTCCATAGCTGTTCCTACAACCAGGTGCACGGAATGTCAGTCAGACTTGATGGGACTGGCTGAGGAGAGTCCCGCTGGCCATAGAATGCTCGAGGCTCATCCTTAAGGATTTTTTATTGCTTTTAAATCTTGAGACTTTAGGAGTGTTCATTTTAGTGTTATTTCAATCAGTGAAAATGTGCCTATGAAAACAGCTTCTGCAGTCCTGGGATAGGACCTGCTTGTATCCGTCCATCCTGAGTCCCCGTCCTGGCAACAGTTTTTAGGGCACATGCCCCCCCCCCCCCCCAGCTCCCTCTTGATCTCCAGAGAATGCCTGACATGCTTCCGCACAACACGGCTTGGATCTGAGGCTTCTGGTGGCCAGACCCGGTGCAGAGCTCACCCAGGTCCAAGCACCTACTCATGAAGAATATCTCTGCAGGTTTGGGGTGCACCATACCAGAGTGAGGTCTGCTGAATTCCCTCGGTTAGTGGCGAATGTGTGTCTTTCTCACGTCGACTCAGGAGACACGTACAGTTTATGGGCAGAGCATTTTAGGCAGTGACTATCTCCCCGAGTCACCTAGCATATTATCACACTACTTTGATGTTCATGGCAGGCTAGTGAGGCCGGTGTGACCGATAATCTGGCCTCAGACAGCAGCCAGACCTCACCGGTTGTACTCAAGAAGAGTTGAGTACAACTCTTTTTTTAAATTTTTATTTCCAAAGTTTTTATTTCCAAGTTCTCAAATCAAAGGCGCTAGGAGCTATTTCCCTATTATTTGATAAATGTTTTATTTTTAGGGACATCTTTTTTTCCCCTTTCTGGCCATTATTTTCTTCACATTTATTCTAAGCTCCTGGGGTACTTCAACCCTTAACCCCCCCTTCCCACCCACCCACCGTCCATCGTGGGGCAGCAAACTGGTCTTTGTTTGGGGGCCACACCCTGCAATGCTAAGGGGTTATTCCTGAATTACTCCTGGCAGTGCTCAGGGGACCTTATGGGATGTTGGGGATCAAACCCAGGTCATATGCATGCAAGGTAAGCGCCCTTCCCACTTGCTATCTCTCCAGCCCTGCAAACTGGTCTTTTGACCGAAGCCTCACTGCTGTTCCCACCCAGGCCCAACCGAGGCACCATGCTTCTATTCCCTGGCACGCTGTTTCCCTCTGCTGCCAGGAGTGCAGGCAGCCATGCCCCCCCTGGCCCCTGCGGCTCCTCGGAGGCACAGCCAGCAGGAAAGGAGGTGGAACAGCAAGGGAAGCCCAGGACCCGCAGTGCAGAGGCTGTCACACAGGCTTCACTGGGAGAATAGCAAACTCAATAGGCTGCTGAGCCCCACCCTGAGACCTCAGAGCCACTGCCTCTTTCTGGCCTGTCAGAGGGACACCCACTCAGGAAGATGACTGGAAACACAGTAGTGAATGTGGGTGTCCAGAAAAGTAGGATGAGTCATGCCAGAAATCTGTTTCTGAGGACCTTCTTGGGTCCAGGAGGGGCTTTTGGGGGCATTTGGGGCATCCAGACAGCATCTACCAGGACAGAGGAGGCTTTGGAAAGACAAGGAGCCAGGCTTTGGAGGCTTTCCACTGTGACTGCTCAGCATCACCAAGAAGAGGACTCAGGCAGGATCTCACGGACCCTGCTGTTCTGTTGCTCCACATGGCCCAGTGGCTTTCTGCTCCAACCCTTCACTCTACTCTCCGTTCTCCTCAGCTTCTCTGTCTCTCACTATGCGGAGACACACTATGTGGAGGCTTCCCATTACCAGTCAACCAGGCACCTTCTCCAAGTTCACACAGCTCCCTCCCTGCTCTGCCTCTCGTCTTGGTTCAGATGAGACTGGGCACCTTTAGGGGTATATGGCCGTGGACTCCAGTCTTGGTTCAAATGCCACCTACTGTCTCCCTTACTTAACCTCTCACCCCACTCCCCATTCTCCTTTCTTGAATCTGTTCTTTCTCCATGCCACATACTCTAACCTGCCAGCACATGCAGTGACTCACTTAGACATTCTGTTTTTGTTTGACTCTCTGAACAGAAGGTAAGTTGGGTGAAGCAAGATGGGCTGGGTTAGCTTTGAGTTTGTTGTTGTTTTTATGGTCTATGTGAGACCTGATTTGTCTTTCCTGCCCAGAATAGCCCCTAGCATGTAGCAGGAGTGTGAAATTATTCGCCAAAGGAGCAGAAACAAATGAAACAGGAGGCTGTGCAGAAGTCACGGGACCCAAGCACAGCCCCATCTATGGACTGGACTTCATTCCGTTTCCAGGCCTCGCTGGGCTGGCAGAGTCCAAGGAGACGCTTTTATGATGGCTCTGCTGCCGGCCTCGTGTCTTAAACTTGATAGTGGTAAGAACACTCAACATGGGGGCCTTTGCCCAGTTTTCACTTGCATGACTTTATTTACACTCAAGTCTATGGCTCATCACCTGGAGCCCGGAGAACCAAGAGCTATTTTGTGACAACAACTCTGGGACAGCTCAGAAACCTGGCCCAGTGGTGGCCATCGTCACAAGCGGGGCTCACCATCTCCCCAAAGTGGCAGGCTTCTCGGGAGCCCTCCCTTATTCCTTTGTGACAGGGAGTTGGTCCACTTGGTGGTTCAGTCAGATCCCCTGAGGCTGTGGAGCCACTAGGAGCCCCCAGTGTGAAGCCTCCTTCCAACTCCCCACGTGCATGCACACACACATACACACGCGCGCGCGCTCACAGGTACACACACACACACACACACACACACACACACACACACACACACAAACGCCCTCGCAAAGCTGTGGGCACATGGAAGGCAGGGCTAGGAGTCGCTCAGGACATGCATCTGCAGAGTTGACGGCTCTTGAACACCCGGCCAGTGGAGACAGTGGAGGCAGACAGTGGAGAGAGGAGCAGATCAGAGGTCAGATGAGGTTAGAGAAGATCAAGGTAAAAGAGAAAGGTCAACATAAAACGGCCTGCCCAAGAAAAGCTGGCTGATGTGCTTTGGGATTCAGGGTGGGGAGAGAGAATGTGAGGCTTGAGTGGCACAGGGTTTGCCTGACAGGGCACCCAGCCTGGGACGTGCCCCTCCAGGGCACCGCAGACAAGAGCCTGGGGAGCCCCACCACATGGCGCAGCTCCCAGGGACATGATAGGCAGGAATGGAAGGGAGCTCAGAGGGCTGAAAAAAATGTCAAGGACATGGTCAAATAAATTTGCAATTTTTGTTAGTTTGTCTTTTGGGCCAAACCCAGTGGTGCTCAGGGCATATTCCTGGCTGGGCTCAGTGACCACATGGGGTGCTGGGGATGAAAAAGGGGTCAGCTACTGGGGATGGAACAGAGGTCAGCTGCTGGGAATGGAACAGGGGTCAGCTGCATGCAAGCAAACATCCTACCCCTGTACTGTCTGGCCAACCCCAAATTTTCAATTTAAAAGTTGAGGAGACAGGGAGGGAGGAACTAGAATCCTGGCCTCTCAGCTCTCGCTTCACAGTGGGGTCCCTGCTATTTCTGAGCCCATTAGTTAGAGAAGGACAGACAAAGGGAAAGAGTGAGGGGGGCCCAGAACACCCCCCCCCACCTCCGCCGGGGAGCTGTTACTCTGCTTCTACTTCAAGAAATCAGCCCCTGAGAGTGGATAGAGGAGGGCAGGCCAAAGGGCAGGGCCTCCTCAGGCCTCCATACTCCAGGAGTCCTGTGCCAGAGTGAGGGAAAGGAGATGGAGTGAAGAGAGAGAGGAAGGGGGACCTTGGCTCAAAGAAAAATAAATCCCCAAGCCTTGCAACAATGTCCACCATGGGGGTTTGAAATCCCAGCCGGCCGGTCCACATCAGCTTAGTGGGGCAGACCCTTCATGCCCACTGTTTCTCAAACATGACTCTCTGAGTCAGGGCCAGGAGGACCAGTAAGCAGAGCTGTGCATAGAGCTCTGCAGAGCTGTGCGTGCGGCGGGAGGGCTGCTTTATCAGGTCCACAAAGAGCACGCCTATCCCTCAGCCCACCCTCACTGTACTTCCGGGAGACAGATCCCCCGCCCACAGGAGAGATGGTCTCTGGCCCAGCTCAGATCCGCCTCCCACCTGGGACACTCACCATTCATCTGGGAGGGTGATGATGAGTAGTCCCTGTCCGTGTGACGTCCAGGCTTCAGGTTGCGGCTCTGCCGGCCGGACCCCTCCAGCATGTTCACGATCTCACTCCGGTCAATGTTGCGCAAGGCTGCATACAGGTTCTCCACTGGTGGGAGGAAAGCAGGGGCTCGTGTGGGGCGTCACACCACCCAGGGGCACGCGGAGAGGAGTGATGGGAGCATCTTCAGGGTGCATCAGGAGGAGGGAAGGAAGGGTGGGAAATAATTTTGTTTTTTTTTTTAGACTAAATTTAAGAAGGGTGGGAAATAATTTTGGTTTTTTTTTTTAGACTAAATTTAAGAATAGGATTATCCCTCTTTATCAGAACAGAATCAAACTTTCTCTCTGGAGAGTGTTGGAAACCCTCGGGCTGATCTTGTCCAAACACATACGGTGGGCCATTTCTAACTGTGGACAGACTATTTAGTTTTGATGGTGGCAAACTTAGAAGAATGCTACAAGAAAATGCAGGTAGTGGGCTCTGGGCCTTTTGAAATACTAAGTACTTGCCAGTTGATTCAAAATGAAAATTCAAACATTGGGGATTTGGTTGAAGAGAAGCTAGTGCACCGAGATAAGCCTTTCTCCCCGGCTCGAGAACAGGTAGTTCCTGGGAGAAAAGCAGTACATCAGACAGGGTGTGCTAACCATCCCTGTCCTGGCAGACGATCCTGAGGGACAATCTAGGGGTCCCGGCACAACTATCTTTTTGTTTGTTTTGTTTTAGAGGGGAAGGTGGGGCACCCTTATGTTTGCTTGGGGGTCTAGGGCATTCCCCTAAAGATACTTGGCCCAGAAGTGTAGGTCTGGTGATTGGATGCTTGGGCCACCAGTGTCACACCCCACAGTGCTCTGCTGTCATGAGCTTGGCGCAGGTACTGCAGCCCTCGGAGTTCTGTCCCCTCCTAGCAATCGTTAGCTGGTTCAGAAGATCAGAAAAGGTGATCTCAGTGCCCTGAGTCTTTGGTGTTCTCTTTGAAAAGACTGTCGAGAGGACCCAGTAGCCCCTGGTAGTGTGAGTCTGTGTTTGAGTATGTGCATGTGTCAGTGTGTATGAGGGTGTGTGTGAGCATGTGTGAGAAAGACAGAGACACAGACAAATTATTCAAGAGAGATTATCCAGAGACCGGCATCCCAAATGGAATCTGAAGGCAGAGCTATTTCGGAGCTAGTCATGACCCGTGTGTTAGAAAGGCTTCCTCCACGTGAGGGTACTGACTCTTTGCGTCTTTGCCTTCCCGGATGACCCAGAGGTTCAACAGTGCTGCACTCTGCTCCAGCAGGGAGTTGGGGTTTTCTACACGGATCCGGTTGATGTCTTCCACACTGAACTGCAGCTCGCGGGCCAATTCTGAAAGTGAAGAACAAAGGGCCCATGTGAGGACTCAAAGCTCAGCTTCATGCCCAACACAGGCATGGGGGCAGGGCATCAGATATTCAAGAAGAGGTTCCTGATGGAATTGGTACTCCCTATTACCATGACCCCTGGATCTTTGTGTCTCTAGAAAATGGCAGAAATTGAGGTGTTAAGGGAGGGCTGGGGAAATGAATGAGTGAACACTTTCCCTTCCCTCCCGTACCACTTTAGCTATGAGAAGGTGTGCCTGAGCTGTGTGGCATGTTTGCAGCTTATCCAAAGTCACAGAAGAAGCTGCAATAGAGCCAAGAGGAGCTGCGCCTGTGATTCACTCTCATGCTGTGTGTCCGACACCAGAATGCCACTGCCTTGCTGTCAAGGGCAGCAACACGCCAAGATGTAGCTTGGTGCTTCTGTGTTTCTCAAAGGGAGGCTATGTTTACATTCAAAATCAAAATAGAAATTCCCATCTGAGTACAAGGCACTACAGACTCAGGGGGTAGCACTTTCCTCCTGTTTCTTTTATTGCTATCTCCCATGGGTGCTTCAGAAAACAGCATCAGTGTCTAGTTTCAAGGATAAGGAAGACAGAAGGGAGAATGACAGTAGAGCCAGGATGTGTATGCACCAACGCATATGCTCTCACTTCACACATACTTGCACACTCTCACATTCACACCTGTATAATCTCTTAGTTGTTCTCACTCAGACCCATAAGTAGTCTTATGCCCAACCATTCATACTCACACATATACCCACAGCTAAACATGCTCACAATTACACATACATTCTCACATTCTCACACACTCACACCTACACCCATGTACACTTACACACATACTCTTTCATATCTACATTCATACATATTCATACATGCCCAGACACTCACACCTAACACCCACCACTGCCATACCCAATTGTGCTCTGACCCCAACATACTCGCATATTCTCACACACCAAAAGGCATGACATGAAAAAGGGGCATGCCCAGACTGGGTGGTCATCACTTAATTGTGAAGTTCTCTGAGTTTGTCTGACGCTGTGAAAAGGGTGACTGGGTGAAAAGAGTACGTGGATATAAAACCTAACAATAAAAAAAGAGCTGAGGGGAATAGAAAAAAGCCAGAGAGTCTGAGAGTGAATGAAACACAGTGTGCACTTCCTGTCCCTTTGCCTGTGTGCTCACTTCCAGGAAGATCTGCCCCAATGCTGGCTTGATTCAGGAGACTGCAGTGCTTCAGGGGAATGTCAGGGGAAGTGTCAAGACCTCCCTTTCCCTTCTCTTTCCCTCAGTAGAGCCAACTTTGAAGGAAGACAACATGTGGAGAACAGGGAGCAATGGATAGGCTGCCAGGAAATCCCTTTTGTGTGTGTTTGTGACCTGTTGGCTGTTTGTTCAGGGCTTGTCACCAATTGGTGACACAACTAACATCTCTTTATATGGGTCTTCACTTTCTCATCTGTCAGGTGAGATGAACTAGATAGCTATATCCTCAGGTCTCTTGTGAAGTCAAAAGTTGATTCTTTCTCGTAAAGGAAATCTGGACAGAACTGGAGGTGAGTGGGAGCTCCCACTTTTCACTGGCCTTCCACTGACCCCCAAAGGTTTTGCTTGGGCAGAAAACATACCCAAGAAAACAGCAAATCAATCACAATGGAGCCCAGAAACAGAGTCCAGGAACGCTCTCGTTAGGCAGAAGAGCTGTGAAGGAGCAGTTGAAACAGAAGAAACATTTTTTTTTCCTGCCCTCAATTTTGACTCACCTGCCCAGCTGAGGCCCAGGTGTTCTGCTATGATGGCCATCTTCATGTCTGCTCGGTCTGTCCCACTGAGGAAACCTGAAGAGAAACACGAACTTCACTTGGTTGTGGTAGGACACAGACTCCACAAGGCAAGCATCCTTGACCTCAGAGAGCTGCTCAGGTGGGGCTGGCACAAAGAACCTAGCTGCAGGTTTATGCTTCTTGCTCACTTATTTCCGGAAGGTGTTCTCTTGAACACATTTCCCCTTTCTCTCCTCTCACATCTTTCTAAGAAAGTTCTGTTCAATAAAAATTTAACCTATTCCTGAAATTATTTTCTGTGAGGGAAAATCGACAGACCCAGAATACCTGTGCCAAGGCAGGGACAGATTTTATCAGTCCTGATACAGGCCAGGCATTTCTCCAGGTGATCGTGGCAGAGGGGGTCAAGCAGAGAGGTGGAAACACTCTTCTCTCAAATCTACCTCCTTTGCTTCCCACTTCCCCTCACTTTATTGAGTCACTAGAGCCATGAATCGAAATAAAAATGTAAGTGCAGAGAGATGGGGAGGAGAGTGAGGATCTGGGCAGAGCTGCTAAAGTACACGGGAAAAACAATAGAAACCAATCCAGCCCAAAGACATGATGACGTTTGAGACAAAGACCTAGAAAAACATTAAATGCAAAATTCCTGGCTTGGAACACAAATGGCTCCCTGAGAGCATTAAGGAATTCTGACCAAGAGGCACTGGGGGCATCTGAGGCAGCAAGCAGAGAGTTCATTACACGCAGACCTGACTATTATCACAAGGGTCAAGACTCAAGCACAGTTAACAGTCTCTGGAAAGAGTTTCCTAGAGCCAGACTCTTAAGTATCACTTGAAGAGGAGGCTGGCTCCCGAGGAAGAGCAGCTCCAGGAAGAGCTGGATCCCGAGGAAGAGCACTGACCAGGCTGCTTAGGGATGGGCCCCGCGATGGTACAGTGGTTAGGGCAGGTGTTCGCCTCCCACATTGTCCCCCAAGCTTCGCCAGTAATCCTGACTGCAGAGCCAGGAGGAAGCCCTGAGCATTGCTGGTGAGCACTCCTCCCCCAATCTCTAACCAATTGCCTCTCGCAAAGATTGTGATAGGAACTAAAAAATTGCAAACCACAACACCCAAAAGGAGAGAGACCAAAGAGGAATGCCCTGCCACAGAGGTAGGGTGAGGTGGAGGGGATGGGGTAGGAGTGGTAGGAGGGATTCTGGGACCATTGGTGGTGGAAAATGGGTTCTGGTGGAGGGATGGGTACTTGATCATTATAAGACTGAAACGCAAGCATGACAATTTGCAAGTCTATAACTGTACCTCACGGGAATTAACTAATACAAAATTTTTAAAAAATGGACCACCAGAAGTTCAATACTTTTACCAGGAAAAAAGTCCACTTTTGTGTGAAGTATTTGGGACAAAGCAGTTCTGAAAAACATCCATACTTAATTTTCCTCTCCAAAACCATTTCTCCCACTCTACAGAAGCTTGTATTCTAAACTGAGCACATATTTTTCCCTTTTCCTCCCTTTATTTCCTGAAAAAACTTGTTTTAATAAAAAAAAAAGAAGTCCAAACCAAAAGCTCCCCCAGAAGGTTAACTGCTGAAGCTCAGTCAGCCAGACAAAGGCTCCGGTGCTGCTAACTGGGACCCCTGCCAAGGGCCATGGAGGGGACAAGCTCTCCTCAGCGTGAGGAGCAGCAGAAAGAGGCTTACCTAGTGTGGACTCGCTGAGAATGCTGTACCTCAAGGCCAGTGGGGTCAATGTCCTCCTCCGGTCATCTGTCCCACCTCCCCCCTGCAGAGAAGAGACAAAGGAAGGGCGCATGGGTTGGCAGGCTGCTCCTTGATGCTGTAGGCTGTGAGTCGGGGGACAGACCCCATCCTGGCAAACATGAAGGAGCATCACCTCTCTGAGTCTTGACAGAAAGAGTCACTGGGGGGCCGGGGAGGGGCCGGAGGAGTGCACTGACCTCTCTGCTCTAAGGACAGTGGCCGCGTACCGCTCCCTGTCCCAGAGCAGAGCCATCCTTATTCCCATCTCCTCCACGAGGAAACCAAGGCACAGAGGGGTTAGGGAGCTTGCCCAAGGTCACTGAACAGGTCACAGGGGATGGGACTTTGGACTCAGAGAACCAAGTTATACCATTCTGGATCCCCATTTCTGATGCTGGCCCAGCACTTAAAACGGCCAGTCAGAGGCTCCTGGGGGGGCAAGAAACCCCAAACAGAAGGTGGCTCCCCCGCATCCCCAGCCATTACAGAAAAATTGGGGGACAGACGCATGAACGTAATCTTGTTTCTTTTCTACTTTGCATGGAAGGCTGATGGTTTAAAACAACAACGACAACAGCAGAACAACAACAAAACCATGGAGACACATGAGCCCTCCGTGCCCCTCGCCACAGGTGGTGACTGATGCTCTAATGGGTACCGAGAAGTGAACATACTTGGTCAGGACGCCTTTGCTGAACTCAAAACCCTGGGTGTTTGCAGTGGCTCAGACACCAGGTCCCTTCTCTGAGGGCCTGGCACCCTGGGGAAGATAAGCAAGTGCATGAAAAAGAGGCTCGACAGAAGTTGTCACACGGCTGGGAAACCTCGGGCAACTGGGTGCCCAGTTCTAAGCCTCAGCGCAGCCTGGAACGAGGGGAGTGAGGTCTTTGCACCCTCGGAAGGAAGATCCCGAGAGCTCAGGGCCAGTGTGAATGTGTGTCTTGCCCTGACACTGTTATTTCAGCATGGGCCACACGCCAGTCTTTCTCTCTCAGGAATGCAAACAGCCTTTCTGGGAAGGAGCCCTTTGCAAGCGCAGGACCTGGGGTCTACGCTGGCCACTCCTGGGGGAACCCATGTCTGGCTGCAGGGCGCTGCCAGGGAAAGCTCACCTTGGTACAGGGGGGCATGGTGATGTTCAAGTGGCAGAGAATGTGCTGGGTGTCTTCATACTTCATTGCCTTGCGCAGAAATGATAGTGACCCACCTGGTTCTCGGCTGCTGTCCCTCACCTAAACCCGGTGACACAAAGGGGAGATTCAGGGGGCCATTCTAGGGCCAACAGGATGTCTTCTCAGAGACTTGTACCCAAGTACAAGGTTGGCAAGGGGCTGTACCTTTACAGGTATGGCCAAACGGTTCTCCCGAAATGACTGGAAGTGGAAACTCCGCTGTTGGGCAGCTTTTTTGACAGGTACCAGGTTTCCAGACAGTTCTGCAAAAAGGGGCATTCCTTCCAAAACCTGAGAAGGGGAAAGGAAAATGCCGCATGCTCAGTAGCAAGCCCAGAGACCCTGTCCCGCCTCTCAGCTTCCAGCCTTTCCTTTCCCAAGTACACTCTAGAGGACGGGATCTGGGCTGTGCTTGGCGCAAGCCGTTTGCTCTACGACTCTTATTTCCAAAGTGCTGATGACTCGGGCTTGCTTCCTCACTTCAAAGGATTTTACAATTAGAGGAAACTTTGATATTTCCCTGTGGAAGTTGATCAGAACTGCTGCCTCAAGAAATTAAGAACTCCAATAGCATATCAGAATATGGCTTCTGAGAAAAGTCTGTTGAATTTAATAGCTATTCAGAAATATCTAGTTCAGGGCTCCCGAGTTTGAGGGCTATGTTCTTCCTTCTTAATCCTCAGCATCCCAGAAGCTCAGCAGACTCTGAGGTCAGACTTTTGGAGGCCTCCCCTCAAGACAGTAGCAGGTATCATGGGATCAGTGGAAATTCAAATCAGACCATCCATCCTCACCCCTCAAATCCTCTGTCCTTCCTGAGTTCTAGTCAAAACCTAGCACAGTGGGAAAGTGAGGAGCTGGAGCTAGACAACTTGAACAAATCCTTTCTGAGAACTTCTGAGCCCTGCAGTTTTCATACCTCGCTCAGCCCATCTTCCATACCTGCAAATTGCTGATAATAAAGGTGCACCCAGATATGAAGTCAGCTGAGAGCAAAAAGTCTGAATGATGCTAACAGATGTCAGCTCTCACATCACAAATCACAGGGTGCACAGGCTTTTGTTTTCCCCTAGTCACAGGAATGGGGCTCTTTCATCTCTGGAGAGATTTCCCCAGGATGTTCCCCTGGAAATGGCTGAGGCGCCTCTGAACTGCACAGGTGGCCTTTCCCTACTACCCATCTGGGCTCCAGAACCTTTGTCTCATGGTGAAAGATGACCCGCCAGTGCGTGCTCACTTATCCAGGGATGCAGGAACTATACCTCTATGTCCCTGCTCCGGGCCACCTCCACAAAGTTCTCATGCTGCTCCAGGGTCTTGTCTACTCTGTCATCTGTCATGCAGTAGCAGCGCAGCCGCCCTTCCCGGGGGTCATTCATCTTGGCAAAAATGACAAACTTGGCCATGTAGGGCACAGCAGTGAGCTCCTTGTAGAGCAGGGTGGCGAAGTTCACAGCTTCAGCCGTTCGAGGACAGTCCGACAACCAGAACCTGGAGGGAGCCGGAGAAGGCAGCTGCGGCGAGCAGCCGAGGGGGACAGAGAGGACGCATCTGTGAGGGACTGCCGCAGACGCCTCACCTGGCAGAGACGTTGGTGGTAAAGGTGGCGCACTCGTTGGCGTACACCAGCTTGGTTGTGCCCGTTATATCTTCCCACTGGGCTTGGTCTGTTCCTCCTGGGACAGGAGCAGAAACAGGTTTGGGGACATGCTTTAGCCAGAGCTTTCCCAGCACTCGGAGAGGGCACGTCTAGAGAATTCCTGCATACTCTCCTCCTAGAGCTCCGTCCTCTGGGGCCTGCGGGGGGTGGGTGCTCCTCAAATTTATCCCATCCCAAGGAACAGCTGTGCCCCAGCCACTTGAGGGCATCTGGCCTCCTCTGCAACTGCCTAGTATGACAGAAGGAGCTGTGGGCAGGGAGACAGGCTGGCAGGGCACCCCTCACCGATGACACTGCACAGCAGGCGCAAGCTGGTGGTGTCGCCTTCCCCGCTGTCCCGGGGGTTGTCCGTCCAGGATGGAGGGAGCGGAATGCGGAGCCCGATGGGGCGGTGGAACTTCCGGCGCCTTGGCTCCACAGTGACGATGGGGCTGAACGTGGCCTGGTTGCCTAGGAGCTTGGTGACCAGCTCATCAGGCACTGGCTGGGCCTGCAGGGGACAAAGCAAAGACTGAGTGGCTGCAGAGCACCAAGTGCTCCCGGACAGGCTGGAGCACTGTCCAGGCGAGTTCAGCTTCCTCTGGGGAGGGCTCTGGTGTCAGGCATTACTGCTTTTATCTCCCTCTTAGCTCCTTCTCCCTGAGGCTCATGACCTCATGGGCCCGGGATGGTGTCACCTTCACTCAGCCCTCAAGCCCGCCCTTGAGCCATGTAGACTCGCCTACAGGGAGCCCATTTCAGAGAGACGAGGGGTCACGCAGCCTTTCTGCAGCTCCTCAGGGAGGAGCTGCTTCTGCTGCTCAGCCATCCACTCTTCCTTTGAGCCTTGAGATCAAATCTCTCCCCTGAATCTCGAGGTCAGAGGGTGGGACTGAGTGGGGAGCGGGCAGCAGACTCTCTCGATCTCCAGAAACACTCTGCAAGGAAAGACGGGGCGGGAGGGGGCTGTATGACCTGCAGCGCCAACTTCACTCTCTTGGTGACAGCATTCTCCGGGAAGGTCGCCTGCACCAGGGGAACCAGTTTGCTCTTCAGAGACCCCCCTTCGGGGCCGATGGTGTCGTAGTCCTGGCAGAGCCGGGACATGATCACGAAGTACAGGGGGAAGTCGGTGGTGATGATGCGGCACACCCTCTTCTTCTCCAGCTCCTCCAGGCTGCCCAGCTCTGGAATCACAGGGGCAGCTGCCCTGTCATGCTGGGCACAGGCTTGGCCACTACTGCGTGCCCAGCATTTCTTAGCCCGGCTTCTGGTGCACGACCCCACCCGAGGCATAGGGCAGCAGGAATTCAGGGCGGGGCCAAATGGAGGGCACCCCAACTCCAGGGAGCCCCAAGAGTCACCCCAAAGTATCACCTCACGCTCCTTTTCTGGGAAGAGGGCCGCCCTGCTGGAGCCCCCCGGGCTCCTCACCTTCATCCATCCCGTTGAGGATCTGATCCAGGTAGTTCTCCCCGTAGCGGCTCTTGTGCTCCTTCCACACAGAGCCGTTCTCACTGCGCAGGACCACCAACTCCCGGTCTCCGCGGCCGTGGGAGGCAAAGTGAGGGATCTCCACGATCACGGGGCTGAGGGACAAGGGACACGTTGGATAAGGGACCTGGAGACAGGTGCTAGAGGCTGGAGGAAGCAGTCCCGCAGCCACCACGGGTGGGGAACAAACAGAACTGTTGGCAGGGTTGAGCCCAGTGTCACTGCAGAGAAGTGGCCTGGTCCCAAGTCTCCTGACAGCCCTAGACAGGGTGGAAACTGCCTGTCAATCAGCAGAAATGACGCTGCCTTGGAGGGCAGGCGTTGAGCACCACTTTTAAAAGAGAATATTAAGGTCTTAAATATTTTCATCAGAGGAAACAATTATAACATATGTGTGTGGTGATGGATGGTAACTAGACACGCTGTTGTGGTCATTTCATAGTACATGTAAATGTTGAATCATTATGTAGTATACCTGAAACAAATGAAACCATTATGTCTAAGTATTACAAGGGAAAACCAAGTGAAGGTGCGTGCAGGCTGCTTTACAAGAGGTAGGTGTTGCGGGGACAGGGCAGACAGGGATGGAGCCTAGAAGGCAACCTGGGTCTCCTGTCTCAAAGCTCCAGCAGGTACCTCTTCAAAGAGAGCAAAGTCCCAAGGCGAACCTCATTCTGCTGGGAAACAGGGGGCAGATAGGCCACTGAGGCCTGTTAGTCCTGTCCTTGGGGGCGATGCTGCAGCTGAAGGACTGTCTCTAGAGCGTGGTAAGAGTTAGAGTCCGTCTGTGTCTACAGTCTAGGGAACCTGTGTGAGTTAGACAGATTCCGTCTGTGTCTAGAATTTCGGGAATCTGTGTGAGTTAGACAGACTCTGTCTGTTTCTAGTTTCGGGAACCTAGAACCTGTGTGAGTAAAAAGACTCCGTCTTTGTCTGCTGGCCATATCAATGCTTCTAGGTCAACTGTTGAGGCAGCTTTTGGTGACAACAAAGAAACAGGAGACATTTGATTATGACAACAAACTCTTGTGTCTGAGTACAGACACAATTGTTGTCATAATCAAATTATTTTTGTCAGCCACAGACTGTCTATCAGCCATAGACCGACATAGGGACCTAAGAGTCTATCAACAAGTTTCAAACAAATAACCTTAGTTTAGGCTAGTCCCTGAACGATCCTTTAAAACTCTCCATGCCCCACCTGGTGGAACACACTTGGGGGCTGCCCTTTGGTTGTGAACCAGAATCATGATGTTTAGTGTCAAAACAACACATTTCCTCAAGTAAACGATGTTGTTGCATCTCATATATTATTTAATAATTATATTGTGATATTGATGGTGCTCTTTCCTGATTATTTTCCTGGCTCACAAGCTTACTTGACTAAACCTTAGGGGTTTCCCATAGGAAACTTGTCAGCCAAACCTCACCAAGGAACCTTGTCATGGCTGTTCTTTCTCTGACCTTACGCAAGATTTATTTGAGCATATTAAGTTCTTCCCCAGGATATGGGCTCTTCGTATGGGTGGAGAATGTGTTTTTCTGTCAAGAACCATTTGGATATTCATAACACCCTCCGCAAACCATACAACAGAGGCAGGTGGGCTGTAGGCCGCTGATGAACAGCATCTGTGACGCTGTTTGCCAGGGCCAGGCCATGCCAGCTCACCTGTAGGCTGCACACACCTCACCTCTGCTTACTGTATCCAGGAAGGCAGTGGAGGGGAATATAAACTTCAGGGAGGGTCCCTCTGCTTTGTGGTTGGGTGCTCTGCATGTCTGTGGCTGGTGGGGCAGTAGTGGGCCAGCAGGGCAGCAGTAAATGAGGGACACTGCACACATGCTCAGGGTACATGACCTCTCACCTCAAGAACTGGGCTCCCGTGGGCCCCAGGGCGATGATCCTGCTGGCCAGGCCCTCCTCCTCAGCCAGGGGAGGTGCTGTGCTCAGCTTCTGAGGTTTGACCAGGCGGCAGGTGATACGGGTGGGCGCCGCGCACGTCCTGGGTGGGATGACCACCCGCAGGCCATTGTGCCGACTGCCCCGCATGGAGCCTCCCCTGGCGTCCACCATGAAGCTCACCAGGAACCTAGGGGACACCAGACCCTGGTTAGGCTTCCCAGAAGGACCCTACTGAGACACAGGAGAGTTGTGCTGGGCCATGGGGTCACTCACCCTGTGTGCACAGGGCTGGCCACAGGGCTGATGTTGTCTGAGGTCTCTGTAGCTGGGCTGCTGGGGATGAGGGAGTCTTCGTCATATTCCTTGGATGCCTGAGGGGAAAGAGAAAGGTCACCTGTCCTTTCCGCTGCATGAGTGCAGGAGCTGGCCTCGGACCAGCCAGGGTCATGCCAGGTCCATGGCTCAGGGCATCTGCTGGTGGTCTCTGGGGGTGCTCACACACTCACCCCTGATACTGCCAGGACCTAGTAGAACAAGGCTCTTTCCTACCACCGTGATGGCCTCTCCTGGGCTCAAGACCCCAGGCTCAGCCTGTGGAGCAGATGGGGGAGCCTCACGCTTCAATCAGCCCACCTCTGTGACACACCACTCCCCTATCTGCACTCACTTACCTCATGACACACAGCTCCCCCACCTGCCCTCACTCACCTCCTGATATTGCCCTCACTCACCTAGTGACACATGGCTCCCCTACCTGCCCTCACTCACCTCGTGACACCTGGCTCCCCTACCAATCCTCTCTCTGGACACTCTAGACCTACCACTGGATCTTGAGCATCATTTGCTACTAGTCAGCTCTGGGCAAATGACTTTTCATGAAAGCATCTGAGGTGTGTGAGGAGAATTAACAACCCTTGGTTTGGGGGTGGGGTAGGGGAGCTTTCCCCTCTACAGATGGAACTGCTCTCGTGTTTGGAAAAGTCTCGACTTCTGGGCCAGAGACTGCCTCAGGGCAGGGCTCATCAGCCAGCAGGGTCTGCAGGGTCTGCAGGCTCACAACCCACCATGGTCTGTCTCCAACACTGTTTCCGCTCATGTGGTCCCATAGATCAGGTGCCTTGTCCCCCTCCTTTGTTTATTTAATTCTACCCATTCCTTGCATCTCACCTCCCAATGAGTCTTCCCAAGGGCCAGTGGGGAAGAACTCGCACTGCACAGTAGCACTGGGACCCCATTCCTTTTTTGCATTCTGAGCAGTGTGTTCTAACCACACTTCCCAGGTGGACCTTGCTCAAGGCTCCTGATTCCTCTACCTGGAGCTCCCAACAGGGCACACAGCTGGGGTCCAGAAAGAACCTACAGACCCAAGCGCACCAGCATAGTGAGGCATCTAAGACTGGCCAAGGAACAAGATGACCAGTTTGTCTCGGCTGGTTTCTCATCCTTGTCTCTGATGACGGAAGGCAGGATGCAACCACAGCCCTATTCAGGTGCGCGTCTGCAGGGCCCTGTGGGCAACACAGTGTGTAGCATTGCTATTCCCCACATGAACAGCTTCCTGCTCTGCTGTTCTCTGTCTGCTGCTACAGGGCCCGGGGAGTCCCTGCTGTTCACACACACACCCTCATGGCAGAGAAACAGAAAAGTGCCGTCTCGGGCTCAGTACTCAGGCTTAGGGCAACCATTCCCGCCTCAAACATCCTCTTGTGAAATATGCGGGTGGCAGCTGGGGACACCAGCAGTAGGGATGGCTGCCCCAGGTCCCCTTTCTACCTACATCCAGCCCCCAACAATCTCTGTGGAAGGGAGGCAGATGTCCCCCCTCTTACGGCGTGAGAGTCCTGGGACCTGCCTCCAGTCTTTTTCCAGAACCATGTCCAAGGCCCCTGGTGCTGACAGTGTGTACCCCAAAGTCAGAACAGTACTCAAGGCTCCTGCGCATGACAGCTGGGGCCAGAACCAGGGTCAGTTCTCAGTCTCACTTGTGACAGGCCCAGGAGACCAACAATCTCCTGAGCCCTGAGCATCACAAACTGCTCCTGGGAAGAAGGATTTGGGCAGACCATGGGCTGCCAAGATCCACAGGTCAGAAGGATTTGGTAAATGCCACATTTAGCCTCTCTTGGTTCCTCTCTGAAAACCACTGTGTACACAGATCCTACTCTCTCAAGTGAAAAACTCAGCAAGTAAACTCAAATGACTGTGTACCTGTTCCGGCTCTTCAGACCTGATCACCACAGTTTCGGGGGTGACACAAGGAATCCTCGGGATGGCTGGAGATTCCACCCTGCATCAGGAACAAAAGGAACAAGTCTCTGAGCCACACCTTTTAGCAGTGCCTGAGAATAGGGACCTAGCCTATGGCATTCTACTAAGGAAGGGAGCCTAAGCAAAACCAATACCTCTGGACCCCACCCTAGCTCCCGGCTGCAGCCTGACCCTCCGTTTTCAGAGACCTTCCTCCCTCTGCCCGCGTCCAGTTGCTTCATGACCAAGTCATAGAACCTGTCCCAAACCTCCAACAGCCCCACTTTGTACCTTTCAAACCCTCATTCTGCTACATGACTACCCAGTATATGTTTGGATCTACCAAATAAATTGGTATGTTATTCATCAGGGACTGATTCTTGTCTTTGTTATGTGTCCAGTAAATATAGATTGGCCAAAAACCCCCTGGTCTTCCTTCCTGCCTGTTCCACTGTCCTGTTCTCTATTTCCCACATTGCCCACAACACTTAGTTGACCCATGACTGCTTTACAGAAAACGTTCTGCCAGCACTTCTACAAAGTTGCAGCTTTGAGACTTAGTTCTCAGATATCCCTGTGTGCCCATGGAGACAGATTGAAGTGAGGGATGGCACCTGTGGCACCCGCCCTGTTATCCCTAGTGGCTCTGACTGAATGGGGCCGGCTTTGAGCTTAGCTCAGCAACTGTTTCTAAGGGAAGTGTTTTTTAGTGGATTATTTTTCTGCTGAGATGCTGAGTGTATATGAATGGGAGTGGGTGTAAGTAGGAGACTGTGAGGGATGGAAGAAATGACAGGTTTCTGGAGGGGAAGACCCAGGTGGAGAGTAAGGAGGGTGTCACACCCCAGCCCAGCAATCTAGTGTGGAGCTTGGCATGAACTGGTGCTGGGTGTCCAGTCCAGCCCAATGCCCTTCCCCTGTCAGGGGCCTCCCCTCTGGTCCCTCCTTTCCTCTCTGAACTCCAGGGCTGGGCCTCAGCCTCCCACTGACCCAGCAAGAAAGAAGTTCTTACACTTGGTCCAGCTTCGGCACAAAATCCAGCAGCTCTTTCTCTTCATCTACATCCCTGGCATCCTGTTTCTCAGCCTTGGAGCCAACAAGTTCTTCCCCTGAAACCACACAGGCTAGAGTGAGGGCAGGATAAAGGAGCTCTTCCTTCTGACCTAGCACGTCCTGCTCCTCCTCCTCTCCTTCCTCCTGAGGCATGGCAGATGGTCTCTGGTGCTCACAGGGGCCATGAGCAGCCTGTCAGTCTAGTCCCTCTAAGGCTGGTGTCAGAGACTGCACCGGCTTTGAAGAGGACAGAAAATACATCCAGAAAGAACTTTCTCAGCTTCACACTTCTACTTCTACACAGTCCTCTGAGGGTGTGAAAGGATGGCAAAGAAAGGGCGGTTTCTGTTCTTCACACCACACACCACAGAAGAATACTCGGTAGTGAAAGGGATTCAGTCAGCTGAAGGGCATAGGTCTGTTGCAACCATGACAGCAGAAGACTCATTATTTCCTAAACCCAGTTCAAAGAGCCAGTTCAACTGCCCACAAGCCTGGCTCTAACAGGAGACTGAACCCTCGACCTTGTGATGTCACCTACTTTCACTTAACAATCTGGGTCCTGGCTTTGTGATCTGGAGCTGGCGGAACGGAGTAACAACCACTCATGCAGTTATGATCACAGACACAGTGGCATGGCACAAGCACAGTGATGGAACTACAGGAATTCCTGCCAGGACCTAGATCTTGTGGATCTCTTGGTCAAGCTACTGGCCCCTCTCATTAGTCACCAGAGAGGGGAAAGCAGGAATGGATTAGTGAGAGCTGATGGCTTGGGTGAAATGCACTCATGAGAAAAGACCACAGGGAAGAGAAAGTGTTCCATACCCATTCTAGTTATATGAGCAGTTCCTGGAAAGCAAACAGAGCCACATTAAATGAGGGACAGAAGTAACTTCAGGGAAGGTGCGAGGCATACCATGAAAAGGGACAGGAGGTTTTCATCATCTAGTGAAAAAGTTATAGAGCCACCAAGTTAGGGGGTGGAAGGATAACCACACCACGTGATGAGGGTGTCCTGCAGTCTTTCTGGGTGTATTAAGTGAGGGGCGAGGCGAGGCTTCCGGCGGCTGGGCAATGTTCATAGAGTGCTTCCGGGTGACGGTCACACTCCTATGCCATCTGACCCAGCACGCAGGCAGAGCTGCAGCGAATTTGAAGGAATTTTAAACAACTTTAAAGAAACATTTTTTCTTTGTGCAGAGCACAGGGAAACCATTAATTACAATTCCTTATAGCTCTGAGAAGTCATCCTCATGGAATCATACCCCAGCTTTGACACATGCACTCATCTATTTCTGAAACTTCTTGGGATGTTTATATTTTAATCTCTGAGATGGAGATATTTCCTTCCTAAGATGGCATTTATAGTGATTTTTTTTTGATAACAGAACCCATCCGTAGAAAGGGGTCTATCTGAGTCGATACAGATCTGGAGAACTGGGGTGCAGTGAAGACCCCTGAGTGCCCAGGGCAGGTGGGGAGGGTGCCTTGGAGGGAATCAGGGCCCACATCCCCTCAGTTTGAGATGATCCAGATGATTTCTCTCAATTCCAGACTTTACCTTCATCTTCAGAGACATCCAGGATCTCATCTACTGTCTCAGGAAAACTCATCCGGTGCTTGTCACTGACTAACTAAAATGAGAAAACAGCAGATTTCAACCCAAGGAGCACAGAGGGCCTTCCACATAGTGGCAGCTACCTACTCTTGACTATGGAGGTGGGAAGAAAGTGAGGAAGGAGGTTTCTCTGGAGTAAAGAAACTCAGAGCTGAGAGGTTCAGCGGGAAGCGGATGTTTGGGGCAAACAGCTAGGAAACAGCTTCCGAAGGGTGGGTTTCTAAATCAGCCATTCTTCTGCCACCAGGTGGCAGTGCAGCCCACCCGCAGTAGCCACACACTGCCCTTTAGCCGGGTGCTGCTTCCCCACCATGAGTGCCAGGACCTCAAAGAGTCCTCTGGCAGGAATGACCGACAGAGCCCCCTGTCAGCCTGTGCATGTGTGGTGCGGGTGCTGAGGGGGAGAAGCAAACATACCACGGCACTGGTCTCATCTGTCACCACCTTGAGTACGTCTGTCACAGAGATGTAGCCCAGGCGTTTGGCAATGGCCAGAGGAGTGGTTCCATTCTAGGAGGAAGGGCAGAGTGAAGTCACCATGGACAGTCTGGAAGGAGCGCGCGCCCCCCGCCCCCCGCTTCCCCTTGCAGCACAGGCAGCTCCCATTCTAGCTGCTCAGAGAGGTCCGAGAAGGACTGGCAGGTGGAGGTTGGAGGGTGCCCGAGACAGGTGCCCCAGGACAGGTGTGGGCAGGACCAGGTGAGGCTGGGGGGAGGGGGTGTGTGGGGCTGAGACCCACGGGCCTGGGAAACCAGGCCAGAACAAGTCAAGAACTGCCCACAGGGCTGGCAACGGGAGGGTGTGGATCCGGAACTATCTGAGACAGTTTCTTTAAAACATTATTATTCTTATCATTACTATTTGGCTTTGTGACTAAGGCTTATTCTGGTTCTCAGTGATCACTTCTGGGGGACTTGGGGTACCATATATTTTGCCAGGGAATGGACTCAGGACTGCCCTGTGCAAAAAAAAAAAAGTGCCCTACCTGTTGTAGGTATCTCTACAGGGGCTTTATCTCTAGCCCCTTTATTATCATTATTTTTAATTAAAAATTTTTTTTTTCAGCAGTGACAAGAACTGAGCTGAGGGCCTGCCTCATGTCATATGTGACTAAATCCTTAAATAGGTAAGCAACTTTAAGCAAGCACTCTACTGCTGAGCTTCCTCCCGCCCATGCAGGTTGGAAGGTGAGTGCTTTACCACTGAATAATCAGGCAAAACTGCTCCCAATACCAGTTTTTGGCGTGCCAGCAATCAGGCACTAAAATAGTTAAAAAATAAGCCATATATTTTTCATGAATGCTTTCAAGTCAGCCAAAAATCACAAAATACCAGAAAGAGGGTAGGGAAATAATTCTACTCTGATTTTAAGAGGAAGAGCTAGGTAAAAACTAAGAGGTGACTCAAGTTCTCTGGTTCCCGGCAAGCCCTAGGCCCACCTGCAGACCGGGAGCCCCATGCTTCCAGAACCAGATCGATGCTGAGATGCTGCAGTGTCCAGACCAGCGCTGATGCTGAGCAGAGACTCCCCGGGCAGGGGGTCACTGCCAGTGGCCGGACACAGCAGGCGTGGACACTGAGCTAAGAATAATAGCCCCTGAGCAACACTAGGTATAATCTAACCTCTCTCACACCCCAAGAAAGAACAATGGTATAAGTTCACCAGAAAAAGAAGGTGGTAATGACATCACACCTCCGGAGGCCAAGGTGGCTGCAGCTTCACGGTAGTGGAGCTTCTAGGCCCAGAAATGTCAGAGCATCGCTGGGCCTCTCTTACACGCAGCATCTCCAAGGGCTGCCTGTCAAGCCCTTCTGTAAGGTGGAAAGGTGGAACTGGGAGTGGGGAGTACTCACCGAGCTGACCTCGTTTGGGGAAGCACCGTTTTTGAGAAGCAGTGTCACGATGTCTGTATGCCCTTGCTGGGCTGCTTGGTGCAGGGGGCTGTATCCGAGCTATGAAATGAGGCAGATGCATGGGCAGGTTAGCAAGTTGGGAGAGAAAGAACCACCGAGCACTGAGCAACCTGCTGGCTTCCAGAAAAACAGAAACCAAGGTGTATTTCCCCTACTTCCTTCTCTAAGGCCAAACTGACAATGGGAGTAGTGTTCCACTTATATCCAGGGTAACTCTGGCTACACCTGGATTTGACTTGTAAGAATTTCCCATTACAGTTGCTGAGAAGATAGTAGTGGGGTTTAGGTGCTTGCCCAGTTCATCCCTTGAATACTGTGGGGAGAGGAGTGATCCCTGAGCACAGCACCAGGAGTAAGTGCTGGGGACTGCTAAGTCTGACCCCAACCCCAAAAGAGTTGCCATTATCCTTCCATCAGAAAAAAAAAAACAAATCCCATCCTAGAACTCAGCTCATGAGTGTCCCCGTACCTTGGTCTTGGCATTGACGTCTGCCTGGTGCTGCAGCAGAAACTTCACCAATTTGATGTTTCCATAGTGACTAGCCACATGGAGAGGTGTGTAGCCCATCTGAAATACAGAAGGAGGAGGGACTGGCAGGGATCTGGGCATCTCAGAGTCATCCGAGTTGTGCAATTAGCAGCAAGAGCCGATGAGGAGACTGGCAAGGAGGTCTCCAGAAGGCTGATAGTCACTAGAAAGCAGAGGCTAGGCTGGGCACTACTGCTCGTCAGGTACCACCAGATGGTTCTGAGCTGCCAAGGAGAGTCCACTGGGATGTCCAGTGGATGGGAGAACTGGTTGCCCCAGAAGGGCAAGGCTAGGTCGTGACTGCAGAGTTCAAATTTTGTGATGCAGGAGATCAATTAGACTAACTAGGAGAAAAAGAGGGTCCTATGTGCTAAGGCAACAGTGGGAGACTCAGAGAAAAGGAGCTGGAGGGAGAAAGGAGCTTTCCAAGGAGGAGATAGGGTGCTCTGCCCTCTGCTCTCTGCTCTCTCTCTCACCTGCCCTCTGGTCCCTGCCCTTGCCCCCTGTCCCCTGCCCTTTGCTTTCTTGGGCCTTAAGGGTCTCCAGGGAGCTGGCACCTGAGGCCAGGAACCATGTTGAGACTCAGTCTAGCCAGATCTTCACAAACTGGGGATATCTGTGGATTCCCAAGGTCAAACCCACAGCAGACCAAGAGTCGTTCAAAGGGAAAACCCAGAACACTACACCAGGCCCACTAGAGAAGCCACAAAGATCCAGCACACTCGTGGGCTTTATAGCAGATTCCTGCCTAAGGTAGGCAGGTAAGCTCAGACACAATTTCTAGATTTTTCTTAGGAAGCTCAACAGTATGAACTCAACATTAACTGATGTTTCTGTAGAATACTGGAGGGGTGGAACTAGAGAGGGTATCACGGTCTCTTCCTTTCATTTCTGTTTGTTCTGTTTTTCCAAGACAGTCTCTCTAGTAAAGAGGACCAGGACATGCTTCTTCCATGTGGTGTCATTGATTCCCACCAAAGGGAAACAAACCCTGTGTCCCGACTCATGCCCCCGTGTTGCTGGGGGCACCTCGCCTCCACCACCTGCCATCCTTCAGGCCTCCACAGTTCCCTCAGCACCCACTAGGAATGGGCAAGGCCAACTTCTCCGTGCCCATGAGCTCCTTTAGGTCAATGGCTTCCAGAGAAACCTCAAAGAAGGCTGAACAGAGTTAAATATAGGAGTAAAAAGTGGCTGACTGTTTTAGTGAATCCAGAGAAGCCGACATTTTGACACACTGTACACATAAGAGAGGTCTTGAATCACAGTTGAACATTTCTCTATTTCTCATGTCAGAGGCTCAAAAGTCTAGCAAACTTTTAAAATCCTCAATTAGAAAGTAAGGTCATTAGGCGTGGTGACTAGCCCCACAAAGTGGCTGGAAGCTTTGTGTTAATGGGTCCTTGAGGTTTCAAAGCTGTGGAAGAATCACTTCTGAATGGTGAGGGAAGCAGGTGAGACTGTGGATGAGGGGTGGGGATGCCCAAGGGGCACAACTGTAGGTTGCCTTACCCGGGTGGTGGCGTCCACTGTGACCCCATGTTTGATCAGCACGTCTGCCACTGGAACGTGACCTTCCTGTGCTACCAGGTGAAGGGGGGTGAGTCCACTCTGGAAAGAAAAAGAAGCTCATGGACGTGTATTCAGACAAGAGTTTCCAGCCACAAATGGAGATCCTGAAGTTCATAGACATTAGAGTTAGAGTTCTCCACGGAGATTTTGCCATATGAAATGAGAACATTTTGAAATTGGACATCAGCTACTTAAACTCAAGCAAAACTCTATGTATTTACCTTAAAAATGAAGTATTGAAACAAAATTGGAAGTCAGAAACTTTTCTGTTAAGGTTGTTTAGGCCTGTGTCTCCATTACAGCTCCCAACACTGCTGCCTAGAGTGACAAAGCCCAATAGCCAACCCATAAAAAAATGGGCAAAAGCATGTTCCAGTGAAGCTTTATATACATCCAGCAAGTAGTGTCTGAGCTTGATCCAAGAGCCATAGTTTGCTAACCTCTGAACTAGGTGAGCTTTATGATATTTTCTAGTGATAGCATTTCCTATTTTTATGGTTTAAGATGGGCTTCAGAGCATTAGTTTCCTTACCTAAAAAAATAGGAATTACAATGGAGTCCTCTGTAGCTGTTAGAAAAGATGAACTCGTGAAATTTACATACAAGTGGTACTACATGGAAAATATCACGGTAAGTGAAATGAGTCAGAAAGAGAGGGACAGACATAGATTGCATTCATCTGGGAAACAAAAAGTAACAACATAGGAGACTAACACTCAAGAATAGCCGAGATAAGTACCAGGACATTTACTCCATGGCATGGAGGCCAGCTGCACATGCTAGGGGAAAAGGCAGCTCAGAGAAGGGAGCACCAAATAAAGGGTGTTGGGAGGATCCTCCCAGGATGGGAGATACATGCTGAAAGCAGACTATAAACCGAACATGATTGCCACTCAATGCCTCTTTTGCAAACCACAGCACCCAAAAGGAGAGAGAGAACAAAAGGGAATGCTCTGCCACAGAGGCAGGGTGGGATGAGGGGGGTGGGGGATGGGAGGGATACTGGGATCAGTGGTGGTGGAGAATGGGCACTGGCAGTGTGATGGGTACTCGATCATTGTATAACTGAAACCCAAGTGATTTGTAAGTCTACAACTGTACCTCATGGTGTTACACTAATAAAAATAAAAAAAATAATAAAAAATAAAACAAGTAAAAAAAAATAGGAATTATCATGGACCAATTCCAAGGGCAGTGTAAAGATCCCTTGGGGAAAGTCAGAGGTGAAGGCACATTAAAATGCACCAGGTACCACCCAGAGGTAGTATTTTATCAGCACATTACAACCAGTGTGGCACCCTAAAAATCTTAGATATGAATACACCAAAACAAAAATAATCTTCTTTTCCTCATACCCTGATTGTCTAAACACAATTCTGCTAAACAAATAGAGTTCCAGCTGTCACAGACCAGAAGCTCCAGGCGGAGTCTGAGCCCTCCTCTGCGGCCTGTGCTTTCTCAGGCCTACTCAGACTCAGCCTGGGCCCTTGCCTAAGTCTTAGGCTAACAGTACCTGCAAGTGAGCTGGTGTGCAGTGAGTGGGCCTGTCTCCAGCACAAGGAATCACCACCTTCCTATGGCCTGTGGGAACTCACTCTAAGTAGCACTAGGGAGTAATCGAGAACCCCACCAGTGTAGGGCCCTCCCTGAGCGGTTCTCTCTAAGAGGCGCCTTCTAAACCAGAGTCAAGTCACCCAAAGGCTTGAAAACGATTCTTGTTCTCCTTAATCAGCTTGCCTTTCTGCAACTGGAATAGGCTATGTATCACCTAAGGAAGTGCCTCTTCATATCATATGACTCTATTTGTATGAGCTGTGTAGAAGAGGCACATTCACAGGGACAGGAAGTAGGTTGGTGGTTGCCAAGGGAGAGGGGATTTGAGAGCAATGGGAAGTGGCTGCTAATGGGTGTGAGGTTTCCTTTTGGGGTGATGAAAGTGTTTTGAAATTAGATAATAGTGATGGCTGACAATTCCATAAATGTATCCAAACCACTGAAGTCTAGTTCAATTAAAGTAGCGAATTTTATGATTTATGAATTATATTTCAATTAAACTGTTATTTTCAAAGAGAAGCAATTCTTTGCCTTTGTTGCATTCCTGTGAGAGGAAAATTCTGGAAAAAACCCAGAAAAATACTCAGGGCTGGAGAGACCATGCAGGGGGCAAGGCAAAGGCAACATATATGGTCCCCTGAGGAGCACGAGGAGTGTGAGCCCTGAGCACAAACCCCTGAGCACTGCCCAAACAAAACGAAAACCAAAAGACCCCCTCTGAAACCCAAAATGCAAATGCCTATGTTCCCCAAATGTACACAATTTCAGAAGATTTAATATTCATATGGCAAAATCCCTGAACTGAGGTTGACATTAAATAAATATCTTCCCCACAGAAAAAGTACCAACTTACTTTATATTCATAAATGTAGGCACTGGCCTATATATGGGAAAGTGGATAGATTTGAACCGTGTGTGTATGTGTGTGTGTGTGTGTGTGTGTGTGTTGCTAAGGATCAAACCCAGGCCCTCACAACTGCAAGGCAAGTGTTTTACCAATGGGTCACATCCCATTTTCCTACAGATTTTAATAATGGTCTAGTTTATTTTAGATTCTTGAATCTGTTTACAATCTGTCCACAAATGGCTGTGGCATTGAATAGACTTACAACGATGGCAATACATCTGCTTATTCATGTAGAAAGTGACCTGAAAACCTAGTCCACAGGGCTGTGGTAAGGATTTTACACACACACACACACACAAACACACACACACACACACACACGATGTAACACAGAGAGCAGACACTGGCAAGGCACTAGAGGGGCCAGGCTTACCTTGTTACCCAGGTTACCATTGGCTTGTTTCAAGAGCAGCAGGGCTACCATCTCAGCGTGCCCCTCCTGGGCAGCCAGGTGGAGGGGTGTCACACCTTGCACTGACTCAGCATTTGCTGAGCCCCCATACTGCAGCAGGCTGCGGGCCACCTCCATCTGGTTCTGCTTGGCTGCGATGTGTAAAGGGGTGTAGCCATTCTGAAAGAGAGTGCCCAGAGCCTGTCAGAGGGTGCTGACTGAGGCGCACCTTGGAGTGGCATCTTCTGAGGCAGGGGTAGGCTGGGTCTGGGCCTGCTGGATCGCCTGCCCAGGGCGGGTGTCATCCATCAATAGAGCAACTTAAGAATTCGGTCAAACAATTAGGTCCATTTGATTTGAAGATTACCCTAAAGTACCCACGGTCAGCAAATGAACTGTTTTGTCATCCTGCTCTGACCCTCAGCTGCTGCTGTGCCCAAATGCTAGTCACCAACAATTGCTGGCATTTTGTTAAATCACCCATGGAGCAACCTAGAAGGCTAGCAAATAAGTAAACAAAACATCTGCCTTCCAGAAATAAAAGAGTCCACTTCTCCCAACAAGGAAAATGGCCAGAGCCTTCTCTCCCTGGGCAGCGGGGCCAAGCACTTCCCCATGTAGTCTGAAAAAAAACATGTATCCAGCAAGGAATTTTAGGAGGTGGCTTTTATCCATGAACCCCTTGAACTAGCTGTGTAACTGGGAAAAGGATGTCAGTTACCTCTGGACTATCTCACATTCCCTCCCCGCCCCTCCCCTCCCCTCTCCTCCCTTCCCTCCCCTCCCCTCCCCTCTCCTCCCTTGCCTCCCCTTCTCTCCCCTCTTCTTCCCTCCCCTTTTCCCATTACAAGTAGATAACTATCATGTTCTCTACTCAGTTTTAGATGAACCAAATATGATAACATATGTGAAAGTGCATTCCAAAATCAAGGTATAAAAGTAATGTCTTCAACCTGTGTTCATTGCAGTGCTCAGTAAAATATCTAGGATAGAAAAACAACCCAGATGCCTAACTGCAGACGAATGGCTAATTTGCCAATGAGGTGGAGAAAGGTAGGGAACTCTGATCATTGGTCGAAGTATGCTGAAACAGCTGGGGTTTGGGGTTGGAACACTGAAGGCCCCAAACTGTTATTATAAGCTCTGTACATCAAAATAAAATAATAAGCAAAACACAAAACAAAAGTAGTGTCTTTATACGGTTTATGGTGTGATGTTCAAAAAGGTTTTTTGGTTTTGTGGTCAAAGATAGAATTTAAGGCCTCACATGCATTGCAAGGCTCCATGGCTGAGCTATGGTTGCCAGCCTCACAAGGTGATTTGAGAGCGAGTGAAGGGGCTGGTGTCCAAGCACTGTCAGCCAATCACGAGCACTGCTGGTTCAACTGGCCTTTCTTCCCCTCTCCCAGTTCCTTCTTCCTGCCCCTCCATTGCTTTCCCCTCTGCAGACAGGTGGTGATCGCCTTTGGTCTACTTTTACTGTTAGAAACTGCAGTCTGACACTGGCTTTTGAGCTTTGCTGCAACCACGTACAGTCAATGAGGCAAGCATCCTTGCTATTTTCCAGTTTGTGAATAAAAACACTAAGTATCTTACCTACAGTCACTGTTGCTGGCACAGTGATAAACAAAACTGGCTCCTGAGCCAGCAGGAAGACTGCAATACACAAACACATCACCTTGTGAAGGTACAGATTGCTGACCAAGTTCTAGGGGGCACCAAGTCTGCATCTCTAACTGGCCTCTTTGCAAACACTCTGCTGCTGGTCCAGGGATAACACTGAGTAGCCCAGCCTCCCAGCACTCGGGCTCAGAGGGACGCCAGGCCTCAGGGCTTCTGAGCACATGGATGCCTCTCTCAGCCTCTGCAGCAACTCCAGAGCAGATGGAATGTAGGCACCACCCTGGTCTGCCTTCTTCTGGTTGCCCCAGAAAAACAGATCCATCCTCCCAGTCATTATCGTACTGGAAACCATATTTCTGATTCTGGCAGAATAAATCTCTGATCAGGAAAGAAAAAGGAAAGGCAGGGGTGAGAGGGGCTTCCGATTTAGCAGGATCCATTTTATTCATTCGGGGAGAGGAAAATTATATTGAGGCCCATCTGTAAAGTCTATTTTATGGGAAATAAATATTTGACGTTTACGCAGAATTAAATCAAATTTAAAATGTCCTTCTTTTTGAGAATACTTGGGCACTATTGGGAATGCAAACAGAGATACCAGACTGTTCCATGGGAAGCGGAGTGGAGATTTTTCTAAAAAATAAGAATAGAACTACCATATGAAACATATAATCTACTTCAGAATATAAACCAAGCAATACAAAAACATAAAACTGAAAAAACACGTGCCATTATATTTTGCAACATTTTGAACAATAGCCACAATGAAGAAATAGCACAAGTGTTCCAAAACAGAGAGTGGATAAATACGTGTCATATAAACACAACAGAACCCTGCTCAGCTCTGACACAGACATGAAATACTGACGTCTGTGACAACATACCTGGGCCTTAAGGGGATAACAGTTAATGGAATAAGCCAGAAAAGACAAATAACATACAAATGTGGAATAAATAGAGCAAACAGCAAAGAGAACAATAGCAACCTTTTCAGTTCAGAAAACAGATTGGTGCTACCCAGAGCTCTGGAAAATGGCCAGAGAGAGACAAAGGGGCAAACTGGTGAAGACAAAATCATGATGTAGCATGGTGGGACCCAGTGGCGCGAACAATGCTGCACACCGGACGTTTGTATCACATGATAGAGAGCATACTTGCTACCTCAATGAAAATAAAGTCATTCTCTGAATAAGTATGATTATTCACTCAAGTTTCCTCCTTTTTGACTAAGTTATGAGAAAAATTAAATTCTTCTTTGCAGACTGTGTTTCTCCTATAAGAAGATTGGCATTTTGATGAGAAGAGGATGAACTAAACCAAATGACAACTTTAAGGTGTCAAAAGAAGAAAGAGGGCTGATTCAGTGGGTCAGCCACTGAGAATGGAGGGAGAGGGAGTGGGCCCCAGGCAGGGTCAGCCGCGGCAGACATGCGCCCGCTCTTACGGCACAAGTGCAATAGTCTGACTGATTCAGTGACTCATGAGGAACAATCAGCCGTCCTGGGTGCTGGGCAGCTGTGGCTATGTACCAAGGGGAAGACCAAGTCTGCCCTAGGGGTGACCCTGGGCTGCCCCTGCTGGAAGGGTTTCCCAGTCTTGGAACAAGGTCTGCCCTTGGCCTTTCTATGCCCAGGGCGGTCCTCCTTGGGTGACAAGGACAAGGGCACTAGGCAGGGAGGCAGAGAGAGCTTAGGGTGGGACCTGTGCCAGTTAGCAGCTCTTTTTTCCCAAGGAAATGAGCTCATCCAAAGGCATGAACACTGGAGAGAGATCAGCAGAAATGTTCAAACAACATTAGCATCAGAATTAGAAAGGGGAGGCTTGGGTTTGGGTGCAGAGAGAGCTGCATGTGAAATTCTACAAAATTGCCAGACTCCTTTGGAAACTATTTTTTGCCATGGAAACAAACCCATCTGCATAAGTGTGGTGGAGAGAGCACGCTTTAAATACCATGGCTCTGGCTCCCTCCGCTTTTACATAAGAGCCGAGTGAGGAGGAGGGGAGTCCGGCACTTTATTTTTAGAGGCAGGAGTAAGGCGCATTTCAGCAGGGCCATATGCTCCCTCCCCGCACTGAGTGATGAGGCGCCTTACAACAGCAGGGACGTGCGCCCAGGAGCCAGGGGCGTGTCTGGAAGATGTGAAGTCTGCAGAAAGGGGTGCTGGAACGTTCAGATGAGCATCCCCGCTGAGGAGGAGGAGAACCCCGCGATTCCCCCCCACCCTGGACTGGCTGGCAGCCTTGGCGCCTGCAGGTGTCAGCTGTGCCCCCGAGGTGGAGCAGCAGATCTGCTCACTCCGCCTGGACTTTCTCCCCTGTACTGCCGGGCCCGGCGCTGATGTCTGTGTCCTCTTCACTCCCTCTGTGGCCTCTGGGGTGTCTGTCCCCCGCCCATCCCCTGCTCCGCTCCCCTGGCTGGGCTTACAGAGACAAGCATACTGCCTCCTTCCTGTGCTGCCAGAGTGCAGAGTGGGCATGTGGGGCCAGAGGGACCCCCTCAGCTGCCCTCACTGCCCCTGTCGTCCTGCCACTCACAGTGACACAGACGCTCCTAAAGGAGGAAAGGGAAGCTCCGTGGCCTCACGCCTGGGTACCACACAGAGAGCCAACCACAGAATCGAATAAAACACCGATAGACCCAGACTATGATCTCAAAGGAAAAGGGAAGAGGGTGGGAAGGTTGGGTAAAAGGGGCTGGTTCTGTATGAAGGAGGGAATTATACTTCTGATGGTGAACTTTATGCAGATTTATAATGGTGTATACCAAAAGCTTATGTAATGTTATAATACAATGTGCTTCAATTAAAATTACTTCTGGGTGCCTTATAGGGGGAAAATGGGGGTTGGGGGGCAGGGGACAGGAGAAGGGACTGGGGTAAAGCTGTTCTCTGGTCCCCGTGAGCTCCACTCACTCAGCGGCCTGGTTACACCAGACGGTGTCCAGATAAACCTGGAGAAACAGAAGACCAAGACAGAAGGCCAGCAAAAACCCAACCCCTGCTCCTGTTTCTGCTCCAAAAATTCACCTCACTGGCTTCTATGTCCCAGGATGAGGCTGTACACCATTTAATTATGAGACAGAAAATAATCACTTTTAAAAATTAAATTAAAAAAAATTAAAAGGCCCTCCCGTTGATCGTCGATTTGCTCGAGCGGGCCCAGTAACGTCTCCATTGGAGACTTTGTTGTTACTGTGTCTGGCATATCGAATACTCTCGAATACTCTCGGTAGCTTGCCGGGCTCTCCGAGAGGAGCAGAGGAATCAAACTCGGGTCGGCCATGTTGGCCGCTTGTAAGGCGAACGCCCTACCCGCTGTGCTATGTGAGGGCGATCTGGCTGCGACATCTGTCACCCCATTGATCGCCAGGGTTGATTCGGCTGATCTGGCTGGCTAGGCGGGTGTCCCCTTCCTCCCTCACCGCTCCATGTGCGTCCCTCCCGAAGCTGCGCGCTCGGTCGAAGAGGACGGCCTTCCCCGATAGAGACGGACCAGTCTTCGGTCGAGGGTATACGAGTAGCTGCGCTCCCCTGCTAGAACCTCCAAACACTTTTAAAAAGAGAAGAAAATATTTTCTAAAATTCATTTCCGGGAAGTAAAGTGGGAAGGTGTGTGATGATCCACATCACAGTCTCTTGCTTCAGGATTTGGACGAGTTCGTCTACAGCCTTGATCCTTGTCAAGGCAGAACCCCGAGGGAATCTCTGTCGAAGCTCACGATCCCTGCGCCCAAGCATGATGACCCATGATGCAACTGGCAGAGTCAGCCGACACATATGTGCAGTGCCGAGCCCACCTGTGTGCTGCTAGGAAGTGTTACCCACTTCCCACCCCACTGCTGGTCCCTGAATAGCAGCAATTATATGCAGTAACATTTGTGAAAGTAAGGCGAGATTTCTGAGGTAAAAATAAAACCCTAAAGCCAAACGCTCTTGGGCAGCTTCTGAAACAGCTCTCCGCAGAACACAGGGCGGAGGGGTGACTCCCGGGACTCACCCACGCGGGGCTGTGTGGCGAGCCTCCCCGAGGCAGCAGCAGCTTCACGATGTCCAGGTGGTTGTGATGGACGGCCACGTGCAGGGGCGTCAAGCCATTCTGCAGGGGGAACGGATAGGAACAGCCTTCACTCGGCTGCGTTTCTATGGAGAGTCCCTTAGCTGCCACCAGCATACTCCTGGATCCCAATCATTTTTTAAAAATCACACGTAAAATCAGTTTAAAGGCATCCCAGGGTCAGAGAGGTCTTGGCACGGTTAAAGCTGCTGTACATGTGGTTGACCCCCTTCAGTCCCTGGCACTGCATTATGGTCTCCCGAGCATCACTGAGTGTGATCCTTGAGCACTGATCCAGGAGTAGTCCCAAAGCACTTCAGGGTGAGGCCCAGCCCCATAAATATACAAAAAAGCAAAACTCTCCCAAGGCTAGTCTGATCTGCTCACTGAAGCACATAAGCAGCAGACCGGGGCGTCCTATTCCTGGGGCAGCAGCACATCACACGCGGGAAGCTCCCCACGGCCTTATCCCAGCCCAGTTGCCCATTCCGAAGTGGCCACAATCGACTCAGGCAGAGCTGCTGTTCCCAAATCGCCAGGTGAGCCTAGGCTCTGAGCTCCAGGGGGGAGGAGGGACGGGAGCTCACCTTCCCAGCTGCGTTTGGATGTGCATCTCTCTCTAGCAGCAGCTCTGCCAGCCGCGCCTTCCCGTACTTGGCCGCCACATGCAGAGGGGTAAACCCTTTCTGAGGAGAAACACAGACCATCAGAGCCTGGCGAGGCAGGTTCCCTCCCCCCGAAGGAAAGGCCCACGACAAACAGGCACCCCCACTAACTGGCCTGAAAGAAGGTGGCAGTAAATAAGGGGCCTAGCCCTTGACCTCGGCAGTGACCGCCTTCCCCAGGACACCCCCACCTCTCCGGGAGGGCAACAGGGCCTGTCTGCTCATTAGAGGGCAGGGCTGGCTCTGAAGACTTCTTTTACCCGATGCTCTGGCTTTTCTAGAGCTACCACCAAGCACATCACTCTCTCATGAGATACAGAGGAAGGCGAGGTGGGTGGGTGAGAAACCACGCTGTGCCACCTTTCTGGGGCAGGACACAGAACCCCAGACTCACAGACAGGAGGCACTGCCCCCTCCCGGCTTCTCTCGACACTGTGGGCAGCACAGGGGCTCAGGCAGGAGGGTCCGGCCTATGCCCCCGTGCAGCAGTGACCTGGAGCTCCTGGAGTGGCAGGAGGGCGGCTGTACCTTGGTCATGCATGCCTGGGAGGCCCCCCTCTCCAGAAGGGCCATAGCTGTTTCCACGTGGCCCTCTCGGGCCGTGACATGCAGAGGCGTGTGGCCAGCGGTGGTGGCCAGGTTGGGATCCGCTTCATTTTCCAGCAGGAGCTTCACCATGCTTGTGTGACCAATGCGAGCTGCACAGTGAAGTGGGGTCTGGTCGTCCTGGAATGGGAGAGACACAAAGAGAAGTCACGCCAATGTTTCAGAGAAGAGAATGAGGCCCAGAGCAGGTGAGTGATCTTCTCAAGGTCACACAGTCTAAGATGAAGAGCTAGGAGTCTGAATTACAGAAACTAACATTCTCTTTTATGCAATCCTTAATACAAAATCTCAAGTTCATTGTTATTTTTACTAATTGTTTGAAGGTTCAGCTGTCTCATCTGTAAATAGGAATATTTCTATCTACCTCCATGGGCTAGATATCCAGAGATCATCACACTCAGCTCCTAGGAGAGAACAAGGCAGAGTCTCCTACCCTATGCCTGACTGTCTCCACCAGGGCCCAACAGCTGAAGACCACCGAGGCCCAGCCAAGGCCATGCTGGGACCACTCTCCACACACTTGGATGAGCCTCACGCATAAAAGAACTGGCAGAGGAACCCAGGTGTGTGGGACCCGGGGCTGAGATCTCCAAGCCTGCACAGTTTGGGACTGGACCTGCCAGTAACTAGACAGTTACACCCACCAACTGCTGTGTAACTCCAACAACGGCCAGGATCCAGAGATTATCATACTCAGCTCCCGGAAGCGCGCGGCCGCATTTGCGGCCGTGCGACCTCTTATCATCTCATTCCTAATTTGGTCAAACTGGCAGGCTACCAAATGTAACATGCCCACACGGCAGAGTCTGGCAAACTCCCCGTGGTATACCCAATATGCCAAATACCAGTAACAATGATGGGTCTCATTCTCCTAACCCTGAAAAAAGCCTTGAATATGGCACTTTAAAAAAAAAATCTCAGGGCTAGGACAAAGAAGACGTTACTGGCACCTGCTCGAGGCAATCGACGAACAACAGGGTGGTCGTGATCGTGACCTCCATGGGCTATGGTTAGCATCAAGCAGGTGATGTTTATAAAATGCTTTCACTGAAGGGTGGGATAGATAGGACAGCAGGTACGGCTGTACTATTTTGGGGATCCCAGTGGATCCCCGGCACCACATATGGCACCCTGAGCACTGCCAGGAGTAAGCTCCAAGCACAGACAGTTGTGGCCCCACAGCCCAAAACAAACAAAATTATTTTCTCTGTGTTTGGCATACAATAAGTACTCAATAAGTTGTGGCTGCTAATAGTATCCTGAGTCATGTCTGAGAAGATCAGGTCTTTATCACTGAAAGTTACTTCGGTTTTCTATCTTTCTGGGGTTGTAGAAAGATAGAAAAGTTCCCAAAGGGAGAATGACTTTGCAGATAACCCCTCCCCCACCCTTCTTGCTTATTCTGCTGCTGAAAGGGTTCAGAGGAGGCATCTCTAATGTTATGGGGCCCAATCAGGGGCCTCCCTCACAGACGCCCAAATATTGATTTTAAAATGATATTTTTAGGGGCTGGAGCAATAGTACAGTGGGTAAGGCGCTTGTTTTGCACATGGTCAACCCAGGTTAGATCCCTGGCATCCCCTATGGTCCCCTGAGCACCACCAGAATGCAGAACCAGGAGTACGCCCGAGCATTGTAAGGTGTGGTCCCCAAACAAAAGAACAAACAAATAAAAAAGATATTTGCAGTTCTATGTTTATTGCAGCACTATATTGCAGCCAAGGTCTAAAACCAACCCAAGAATAGATAACTGAATAAAAAAAAAAACACCTGTGGTCTGTATACCCAGTGGTTTATTACTCAGACACAGGAAAAGATGAAATCCTACAGTCCTCTACAATATGGATGGAAATAGAGGGTTTCCGTGAGGAGCAAAGTGAGTCAAAGAGACCGGCGCTGAGTGACGTCTCGTCTCGCACGTGGGACAGAAGGAAACACAGTAAGGGAATGAGGGTTGGCTTTCAGTACCAGACTTGAAGACTGAGATTACTAAAGGTGGCCGTGGGTGGGGGTGGAGGGCTCAGGAGGGAGGAGGAATGCTGACTCTGGTGGTAAAGAGGGTGCAGCAACATAGCCGTCTAAGCACTGATGCTAATCATATGTAAATCATAGCGTCTAAATAAGGAAAAAGCAAAGTGGTCCTAATTGTAAGGAACCTTCAATCTCTTGTAGGGTAGGAAAATCAGATCTTGGCCAAAGTCAAGCACCTGGCAAACTCAGCAGCTATTCGTACTTCTAATTCATTTCACCTTTCACAAATGCCATTTTTCAGAGGAAGTAATTCCTGACTCAACTTGACTGATTTCAACAAAACCTCCTTCAGATACTTGCCTCTCACAGGGAAGGGATGCAGGGTGGGGAGTACGGAAAGAGAGTCAACAGTTTGAGGAAGGATGGAATTAGACATTTTAATGGTGAGTAAAATGTGTATATACAGATGTTGTTTTATAAGTCTTTACGTGCCTGAGACCTGTATCACTGTAGACAGTGATGTACGTGCCTGAGACCTATATAATTTTTATAAACCACTATTATTTCACATAAATAATATTTAAATAATCGTTTCAACTAAATAATCCACACTGTGGGCTGGATAGATAGTCCAGTAGGTAAGGTGCTGACCTTGCACATGGCTGATGTGGGTTTGATCCCTGGTGGCCCATCTGGTGCCTTGAGCCCTGTCAGGAGTCAGCCCTGAGCACCACCAGGATGGGCCCTCCTGCCCCCAGGTCCACAGTTCCTTCTCTCCTTACACACTTAAGGCCACCACCACGACTGTTTCAGTAGGGCAAACACTTCAGGTCAGCCACCCTAAAGCACACCTCTCTGGGGCAAACACATCGGTCCTCTCAGAACTTCCACCAAACCAACCTGAGTCCCACACACAGTCACAGTAATGAGAGGGACCTCAGGGACACAATGCTGCAGCCAGCATCTGGTGAGGGGGACATGGTATGCTTATGCCCCAGGACCTTTCCCCCCTGCAGAGCTCACCTTGGCCTTGGCATTGACTTTGGCTTTGTTCTGGAGCAGATATTTGGCAACTTCTGTGTGCCCCGCTCTGGCTGCCATGTGTAGCGGGGTCTCCACTTTCTGTCAAACAGCAAAATCATAGAAGAGTTAACCCATGCTGGGACTCTGCAAGGACACGTGCAGTGCTCCAGAATGCTGGCCCAGAGGAGCTTGGTAGATTTCTGTCCAAGAGGTTCAGTTGCTCCAGCAAGAGCCTGCTGCCTGGAGTGCAGGTGTGCAGGCATGTGCTGGTGCATGCGTGTGCATTCTAGCTTACTTCAAAGTAAACACCAGAGCTAAGGTCTGTCTGGAGATGTAAATGTATTCCCAAGTAACACTTACAGAAGTTCCCAAATTACTGTCCAAAATAAAACTGTCAAGACTTACAGATGTGTGACAATCTTAATTGGGAAGGTGTAAGAATACACGGATATTCCCCTGCTCTGAGAGCCTACCTTTCTGCCCCAGCTTGAAGACCTGCAGTTGTCCCCCAACCTCCCCTTGGAGCCCCCCTCAGGCTTACCACATTAGAGACGTTGGGAGAAGCCCCCCGTTGCAGGAGGTTCTTCACGATGGGGAGATGCCCCATAAAGGCGGCCACATGGAGTGGGGTCAGGCCAGACTGCAAGAAACAAGGAAGGAGTGAGAGGAGGGGCTCCCAGCAGGAGATCGTGGGTGCTTCTGAGTCTTCAGAGGGACTTTCCAAGAACAAGGAGCAAAAGAGATGGGGTTGCTTCCAGAAAAATGGCAGGAGGAGAAAATTACTGCCAGGGTATCCTGACTGCTTTTGCAACTCAGAAAAAGGCTTCTGATGTTGGAAAGTCCCCTGAGTCCTGACACGTGTTCCCTTGTCCCATAACTCATTCCTGTGAGTGTCTAGAGTTTTGTCCACGCAGCCCCCCTCAACCCCCTTAGTTCCAAATTATTAGTCCCCAGAACACTGACGAAGGCGGAGCCTGCCAAGGCTCATCCTACCTCAGTGACAGCGTCGATGGAGGCTCCTGTCTTCAGTAACAACTCCATGACCCGGATGTGGTTCTTCTTGCAGGCAATGTGCAAGGGGGTGAAGCCATTCTGCAGCCCACACAAAGGGAGACAGACAAGCAGAGCTTTATGTACTGTCCAGAGAACACCCCACCTTGCTAACTCCAAGGCAGTCTCTGGCCTGGGCTTTAAATCCCAGAGGCCAGAATGCCTTTGCTGCAAGTCATCAAAGGGGCAGGCAGCCTTCATTTTCCTTACCACATATTTCCAAAACTGATGCTTATGACTCCTTTTAAGAAAAGCAATCATAATTTGGGATGCACTAAATAAGCCCACTGTATAAAGTTTCTTTATGAGGGGCTAATAAGGGCACTATACTTCTATACTTCTGTGGAGCGAGTCATAGTTTCTGATTTCTCCCGTCACCCCTGCTCACCAGGGATATGCTAGAGTAGAACTCTACAAGGCAGAGATTCTTCACTTGGTACCTAAGCCCTTAGGACTGTGTTTCTCAAAGTGGGGGAGGGGATTCCTCCACCCCCTCCCCCATACACACATACCCATCCCTTACCCCTAGGGACATCTGGCAATTGTTGGAGATAATTTTGATAGTCACGATAAGGGCTGGGGAGAGCTAATAAGCCATCTACTGGGTAGAATAACTGTAGTAGGGTTACTGCTACACAATCAGCAATATCAGGAGCAAACTGTCAATAGTGCTGCCATAGAAAAAATCCAACAACCACAGAGCAGGGTCTGGTATGTGGCAGGTGCTCAATAAGAGCTTTCCGAGGCAGTGAAGGCATAAGCCATCCTTGCTCATGGTATTGAAGAGGTCATTCTGTCCGGAAATTCCCTTCTGGGGATGGGCTCTGCTATCCCATCAATGGCTGCCTTGATGGGAAGAAGGAAGGGAAGCAATGACCCTGGAGAGAATTTGCTTCAGGCCTGAACTACCTTGTAAACAGTAAGACTTCAAAAATGGGTTCTTAGCCCAGACCATCTCATTACACCAAAGCAGAAGTATTTTTTCAACTTTTTTTCAATTTTTTTTCCAAATTCAAGGGAATGTGTAAGAAGTCACTATCACTTGGACCTGGTTCCACACACATGCCCTCAAACCATGTCTTGATAAGTCACTTTGACCTCAAACCAGTCCTGGACTCAGCCTGTGACTGGGTTGTGGGTGTAGGAGGTGACATGGGCTGGCATGCTGGGGGGAGTACAGAGATGACCCCCCCTTCTGCTGGTATGCTGGGGGTGCAGAGATGACCCCCCTCCTGGAAATCTGGGGTGCAGAGATGTCCCCCCTCCTGCTGGCAAGCTGGGGGTGCAGAGATGACTCTCCTCCTGCTGGCATACTGGGGTGCAGAGATGACTCCCCTCCTGCTGGCATGCTGGGGGTGCAGAGATGAACCCCCTCCTGCTGGCATGCTGGGGATGCAGAGATGGCCCTTCCTCCTGGTGGTATGCTGCCAGGCCTCCTGGCATTAGCAGGCAGCAATGCTTCCTGGGCCATAAGCCGAGATGGCAGTTCTGGGACCAAATTCCAGGCTATGTCCTGTCCCATAGTCCAGCCCTGAGGCCCTCACTGGCTTCCTTCTGCCCCCATGGCATCACCCGAACTTCCCACTCACCAGGGCTCTAGAGTTTGGCTTGGCCCCTTTGTCCAGAAGGACCTTGGCCACTCTGTGATGGCCGCAATGTGCTGCCACGTGGAGTGGGGTCAGGTGGTCCAGCGTGATGTCATCAATCTCTGCGCTGTATTGCAACAGAAGTCGGACACAGTCCAGGTGGTCTCCCTGAGCCGCCATGTGAATCGGGGACAAGCCATTCTGGGTGCAGAGGGAAAACCAAACAATCACAAAGAAAATGAACCTGGAAATGCAGGATTGTAATTCTTGCCCCAAGTTTTACTACTTCCCTCACAACACTTCCATGTGGGTGCTGAATGAGCTGCGAACATTCACTCTCCAACCTCCTAGAGCCTCCAGTCAGTTCTAGAATGACCACTCCTTCCACACAATCTTTTTGGCCACACTAGAAGTCTGTTGGGTTTTTGTTTTTGTTGTTTTTTTGTTGTTGTTTCTGTTCTTTTCAGAAAAGTCTGTGCCCCTAGTTCAAAACTCATTTGTAGATTTGCCAAATTGTATTGTAATTAACTTTCTACATACTTACACATTAAGATCAGTAACCAAACCACACTTCCATTTAATGCTCTGCAGGTCCCTGCACATGTGGAGCACACAGAAGGGTCCTCACACATTCACTCATTCAGACATAACCCGATATTCAGTCAGTCAGTAATGAGCACCAGGTATGGATCTTAATCTGTAATCACACAGGCCAGAAAATGCCAAAGACCACCAGCAGCAACCCACCCTGAGATCTGAGAGGCAGCGGAAGGTTCTCCCCCAGCCCTGAGCAGAGACTCAGCCTGGCAGCATTGGGCCTGTACTTCCAGTACATTTCCCCCGAATGAGAGACAGCAGAGTGCTCTGTCACCAGGGCCACCAGCACGTGACCTTGTGCAGCCCTAGAGGACAGTTGGTCACTGCCTGGTGCACTGAGAGAGGTTGAACCATCTTCCCCAACTGAGACGGCAGCTCTCGGCGAAGAAGTTTCATGCCAACCTTGTTAGCCCCATCTTAATCATCTGGATAATATAAAACCTTTAATAACTTAGGAACATTTATGTAAGTTTAAATATAGTGCCTCTGTGGGAAAACATTGAGAATTTCCTGACCTAATAATATAATTGCTGGTAGCAATTTTACCTTCACTAGTCAAGGATTTTCATTTTTCCTTTTTGGTTTTTTGGGCCACACCTGGCAGTGCTCAGGGCTTACTCCCAGTTCTGCACTCAGGGACCACTCCAGTGGTGCTTGTGGGGGATCATATGGGGTGCCAGGAATTGAACTCTAACCAGCTGCATGCAAGGCAAACACCCTACCCACTGTACTGGAGCTTCAGCCCCAAGGTTTTCACTTTCTTATGTCCTTCCATCCCCTGGCAATCATCCTCTGTGATCATCCCAGTCTAGGAAGAGAGAGCTCCAGAGGAGGAGACTGAGGCACAAAGAGGAGGGGCTCAGAGCCACACAGCATCTGAGTCATGGACGGAGGATTAAAGGAGAGATAAACAGTTTTAATGGAGGTAACTCTCTCTCTCTCACACACACACACACACACACGCACACACACACGCGCACACACACACAAACACACATACACATGTGCACGCACATACACATACACAAATGTGCACACACACGCTGTGTACACGCACAGCCTCCTCTGACACTACGAATTGTGCCCTAAGCTAGAGACGATCTGTTGCGTGCAGGCATAATTATTTGTCAGGGAATCAATTGGTTACAGACTGTGCTGTAATTTTATGACAGAAAACTGCTCACAGAAAACCTCCTGAGTGGCCAGGAGTGGGCCTAGTTTTGTTCTCATTTTTAAAGCACATGCCTCATACATTTACTTCAAAGAAGAGACTGGAGCACAGCGTGGCAGCAGAACCATAACCCCCATCAGACTCAAGACTTGCCGTGGAACTGAAGAAGGTTCTGTTCTGGCTCAAGGGACTCTGAGAACTCTCTCTCTCTCTCTCTCTCTCTGTCTCTCTCTCTCTCTCTCTTACTCTGGGCTGACCCCAGCTCTGGAGGCTTCACTAAGAGCTTTGCTTCTGTTATCCACACTGGGGATAAGAAGGACAAGAGCAGATCCACGGACAGCAGACCGTCTCAGCCACAGGTCAAACATCACCCATGGCCTGTGTTTGTGAATCAAGTTTTTATGGGAACAAGTCTGCCCATCTGCATATTTTCCCTGGAGGCTTTCTTCTAAAATGCAATGTTGAATCTGTTTGACAGAGACCATCACTTGAAAAATCTGAAAATACTGAATATTTGACCCTTCAGAAAGCTTTGTCAGCTGTGTAATTAGAGCCGCTCTGTGTTTCTCCTATGTGACAGGCATGGGACAAAGCGTGCATCTCCTTACTGCATCTCGTGGACCAACTGCAACTGGAGAGTGGGCATCTCGCTCTCTCGGCAGTGGCCCTGGATCCCAGGTTGGTCTCACCTGAAATCTTGCCCCAAAGATGCCCTTCACAGAAGGGAAGCACACACCTTGGTTTTGGCTTGGATAGGTGCCCCATGGTCCAGCAGGATCTCTGAGATCCGCACGTGCCCATTCCGAGCTGCACAGTGGAGGGGTGTCAGTTCATCCTTTAGGAGACAGAGGCAAACACAGGACACCCAAAAGGCCCTGTCAGAAACGGTCTGCGGCTTCCCAGGCCCAGCAGCCCGCCCCCTCACTCCCCAGGGCTGTTCTGGGAGACAGAGGGCTGTCACCAGCTTGTCCCCAGGAACCCCCCAAGAAGCCCCCCTGGCATGATGTTGTCTGAGGCCCTTTGGCACCCACCTTGGTCCTGGTTTCGATCTGGGCCCCGCGGTCCAGCAGCAGCCGCACCATGATCACGTTCCCCCTGCGGGAGGCTATGTGCAGAGGGGTGATGCCGTTCTGGGGGGACAGGGGGTTCAGGGGTCAGGTGCCGCATCCTCCTCTGGAAAGGGGGTTCTGCATGCCCCACCCCAGCTCTTTCCCGCTCTCTTTGCAGCAATAGCGCTAGGCATCTACTCGAACCATATGGATTTCTAACAAGGCTGTAAGGACCTGATGATGTGTGCCCCCTGCCTCTGGCCCCAACCCTTAAGCGACCAGATCCCTAAGAATCAGCATCATTGGACAGCTGTTAGTCCCATACTCATGGGACTTCACTCTAGAGTGGGCCAACAGAAAGGGGGCAGAGAAACCTGCCAAGGAGGAGCCTTAAAAGACACCAGGGGGGTCTCATCCGCAGGCACGTGGGTAGGATGAAAGGCGGCCCAGGGTGCTGAGGTCCAGCTTGGAGAGGGCTGCCCAGGGCTCACCTGTGGCGTGAAGTTGACGCTGGCGCCTCTGTTGAGGAGTAACTGGGCCACGTTGAGGTTCTCATAGTGAGCAGCAATGTGGAGGGGGGTGAATCCAGTCTGGGACAAAACCACAAACCAAAGGGACAGTTTGTCACACACACACACACACACACACACACACACACACACACACACACACTATCTACTGTCACTAACTCAGACACAGCTTGTCAGCTCTGAAGCTAGTTTGGACTGATGAGGACAGTTGATATTTTGTGGCCAGTTATGATCACTGTCTCGGAGCCGGGCCCTGCCCAGGCATGTGTTCAAAGGTTGAAGCATGTGCCTCATGTGTGCAGGGCTGTGGGATTTCTGGCGCTAAGCGCCATCTGAGCACTGCCAGGAGCCCCTGCGCTGGCTCTGTGTGGCTGGGAGGGACACACACTCTTTGATTTGTGATTCACATGGACAAACCACAAACCACAAACTAGAATTACCCTAAGGGGTAATTCTATTCCATGGCAAATCACCCCATGCATATGAATTTTTTTTTTTTTACAAAGAAATCCTCATTAATGAATAGCAAGTGTCACGGGTTCATGTTCTTGTCTCAAGTTCCGGTTCTGCCTCTTGAAGGGTTCCCATGACTTAGCTGGTAGCCTAAGGTGACTTTTGGTGGCTCTACTGTCACCATTCCATCCATAACCTTAGACCTTGTCTAACCGAGTCAGTTTTTCAGCCTGCTAACATGGGCGGGGGGCGGGGGGAAGGGTGAGGCATGGAAATGATGCTGCAAACTTTCCTGTAGGAAAGAAGTAGTTAACAGATGACCACATTTACAGGTAGGGATTGGCATTGTCCTGTCAACTCAATGCATTTACACAGGTGCCCCTGGGCAGCTTGTCCACATTCTCATGCCCACATAGTCAGACTCTTCCATCTCTCCACTAGGCGGTGAACCACAAGGGGATAAAATCCTAGGCCTGATCACTTTCAGCAACCCACTGTCCAGACCTCCACCCCTGCTGGGCGAGGAACTTCTCTGGTTGACCTGGAGCAAGGGAAGCCTTTTCCACTGCACTTCCAACACATTTTCTCAGTGTGTGTGGAGGCTACCAAGGGGGCTGTGCATGGTGGCACTGAGGTGACAGTGGGAACTGCTGTGTGTGCACATGGGGTAGCATCTCTGGTCAGGGCTGCTGTCATCCCTCAGGTCCCCACAGTCCCCAGTGCTGCCTGTACCTTGGAAAGCACATCGGGGTTGGGGTCATTCTGCAGAAGCACTGCGGCTGTGCGGGTGTCATCATTGCGGGCTGCGATGTGCAGCGCAGGCAGGCGCACCTTCCCTTTCGTCCCATAGTTGATGAGGTGTGCCACCACGTTCTCGTGGCCCTGCTGCAGAGCCACGGCCAGGGGAGTGAAGCCATCCTGGGCAGAGAGGAAGAAAGAGCCATGGGTTTTGCCTGCATCTGACCATTTCCGTCCTCAAGGCAAGACAACACACACTTTTATACCTTAGGGTTCATCTTAGCGGACCTGAAGTGCAAAGTTATATTCCTATAGCTTTTCTGTTCCTCAAAGCCCTCCTCAACCTGCAAGCTATGTGTAGGTACCACCTTCTCCAGGAAGCCTCTCTCAGCTCTACTTTCTTTCTCTGAACACTAATGAGCCTACAGCAATTTTTAAAACTCTGTTTTGTTTTTCTTTATAAAGTGGATGCTAGAGTAACCAGCCTGACAGGATACTAGGAGAAGCTTTCTCTTATACTATTCGTTGGTGTCAGGATAGTGCCTGCACTATGAGAAAGGACTGTGTATTCATTAATTCTGTGAGCAGTATTGAACACCTACTAAATGTAGAAACACCTGATATTGAGCTACTGTTATTCTCAGCTGTGCTCTTAGGGTCACCATCCCATGAACAAAGCAGGACAGCAGCTCAGTCATGTCATCACTGAGTCTATGCTGAGGTCAGAGAGGTTGAGATTAGCGTGCCTCAATCTAACCTAATTTCATCATTACACCAGTGACTAAACACAGACTAGAACTAAAGTGACCTGTTAAAGGTTTTCAGTGGGCTTCTGGCAAACTGCTGTCTTATTACATTCTAGCATTGACCTGTCACCATGCCCTCCATCTTCCCCTAGTGTCGGGTAGAGTGGAAGCGACATACTCCAATGTCATTTCTCTGACACATGTCTCAAAACAGGACTTCTCAAGACCTAAGACTTCATATCTCTTTTCCTCGCAGAGCCTGATGGAACTCAGTGGTGTGTAGATCAAGAGTGTCAGCAATGTCCTGTCACATTAATAGCCGTGTGATGACCTCCTCGGCCCCAGCCTTCCCACATGCATATGCACCTGCGAGTTTTCCACACAACTTTCCCGGGTACTTACTTCTGTTGCTACATTTTGATTAGCTCCATTTTCCAGTAAAAACTTAACCACTTCCAAGTGATTCTCTTGTGCTGCCATATACAGGGGGGTAAAGCCTTTCTGTAATCCAACAGAATAAGTCATCAGTAGTAACAGATCATGAAACCAATGCAAAATCTAAACATGAAGACAATTCTCTCTCATTTTATTTTCACCTTATTTTCACAGGGCAAGATCTCCAGTTTTTATGGCTTGTCTGTGTCTGTTCTCCTGTATGTTGCACCCCATTCTGGAGCCCACGCCCCAACTCTGGATGCACAATCTCTGCTTTACTTTACAATACTCTTGGGCTGCCTGTATTCTGTAGGGCATGGAATTCCCTGGGCTGTCTCTGGCCTTCTTTCTCTGAAGAAAGAAGAACCCCACATTCTCTTTAGAATTTGTATCATCTCTTCATAAAAGTACTTATATCCTATCTATCTTCTCTGGAAATTCTTACTGTGATAGTTTTGACCAAAAAGAAAAAAACCCCAAAACTTGCCACCGTAAAAAGGCCTAGTAGGACTATTACAACAGGCCACAGGTGGGGCTGAGTCTGTGTTTGGCCCTTCATGGATCCTCTATTTTTATTTCCTGCTTCATCAACCCCACTTTCCCACAACCCATTGTGTAGCTTCGCTTTTAAACTGGTCGTGAGTAAGCATACTATTTGCCCAATTAAGTGAACAGAGAAGGGACTCTCAGCGGTCAATCTTCATGTGCATACAGTGACAGAGCGAAGACACAATAAAGGGTGACTTTGCTATTGCTTGCAGATGCATCAATAAGACACCTAGACACAACTGCACAGTGAACACAGGCCCTGCAGGAGACGCCATGTGACAGAAGCACCGGTGAGGGGGAAGGGCGGAGTCTTCAGAACTGTCACCTGGGACTGGGCGTTGACATTGGCACCATAGCTGACCAGCTCCCGGACCACCTCATCCTGACCAGCGAGAGCGGCGATGTGCAGAGCGGTGTTCCCTTTCTGAAACACAAGGGGTGGGGGAAATGAAGAGATTTCCTACTGGGCCTCCTAAGTGACTTTCAAAGGTACAGGAACAAGGTTTAGACAACATACGTGTGTGTGTGTGTGTGTGAGAGAGAGAGAGAGAGAGAGAGAGAGAGAGAGAGAGAGAGAGAGAGACTCATCAGGCATTTTATAACTGTACTAAAAGCACTAAGTAAAATTCTCCCTATTCACCATAAAAAAAGTCTGAAAGAATAAAAACCCAACGTCTCTCCACTCATGTGGTGTACACAGGCCAGCACACAGTGCTCAGGACACAGTCTCTGACAGACTGCCAGCAAAGCCCAGCCTCCATGCCCTCTCCCATGGGCATAAAAAGTTCAGCAGAAATACTGAGCTTATTGTAGTGACTCCTACTGACCGAATCAAAGGAGAGAAAGAATGGAGGGTCAGAGAGTGACAAAGGATCAGCAGCCAAGACAAGGGCAGAAATAGGTAAAAGTTGAGGAAATAAAATATGAACTATAAAATGCATGTTGAGAAAAGAAGAAACCATAAAGGAAACTGGAGGCAAAGAAATAGAAACATGGCAAAGGAGAAGTAAATAAGCAAAATATAATGAGCAAGTACTCCCCCCCCCCAAAAAAAAAGACAGGAGAGTACAAACATTAGAACAAACTACAGTTAGAAGTAAATTTCTTAGAAGCAGAGAATAGACAACCAAGACTAAGAACTTGAAAACCTGAGATGGTCGAACATTCACGTTTTCTAGTCTGGATACAGCCTGATATTACATAAGGATTCCAGGGTGCAGTTTGAGTTACTCCAAGACAGTGTGAGCTGCTTGGCCAGGCTGGGGGCCCAGGGTGGGTCAGGGTAGACTCCCCCAGAGACTCCGCTGGCTCCCTGCTCAGAGACAGGCAGCAGGACGAGCCCCTGCAGAAGACTCCTGTCAAAAAGGATGGGGTGGGAGGTTGGAAAGGGACCACTCTGGTTCCACCTGCTCCTTGCTTCTCGAGGAGTGGAAACCACCATCCTGCTTGCTTTTTCTATTCAAGTGATGCATCATTTTATTTTTATTATTATTATTTTTAATGTAGGAGTACTGCTGATGCATCATTTTATTTATTTATTTATTTGCTTTTTGGGTCATACTCAGCAATGCACAGGGGTTCCTCCTGGCTCTGCGCTCAGGAATTACCCCTGGCGGTGCTCAGGGGATCATATGGGATGCTGGGAATCGAACCCGGGTTGGCCTCGTGCAAGGCAAACGCCCTACCTGCTGTGCTGTTGCTCCAGACTCCTGATGCATCATTTTAAATGAAATGATGGAAATACTTCTCTAATCTACCTCAGGAAACTCTAATCCAGGGTGTGTGCTGGGTGGCTGGTCACTGGAAGAGAAGCACCTCCACCTAGGTAGAGCTGAACAGCCTGGGCACAGCCATCACCGCCCCAGGTGTCCACAAGGGGGTGGCCCCACAGAAGTACTCTGAGACTTGGGGGCTTCAGAACTTTATTTCTTGTACTTTGGTCACACAGATGTCTGCCTTTCGCCCTAAGTTCCACTGGGGAAACAGAAGGTCTCTTTTTCAGCATTCCTCCAAGAATGCCAGAAATGAATGTATAAACATTAATCTTTTTTTCCCTCCAGGGAAACCCAAAGATCTTACATTTAGAGACCTTGAGACCGGGGTCCGACTCACTGCTGTACTGTTAGGACAGGCTGCCGGCCCAAGAATCTGCTCAGGAAATGAGGACCCTCCAGTTCAAAGAGGAGGGCTGTCTGTCCATCACACACTTGCTGGGCATGTGCATGGGTCAGACACAGAGTAACACAGACAAATGAGAAGCATTTTCCCTAGCCTCAGAGACCTCTGCTGCATGTTCCTTTCCTCCTGTCCCTTCCTGCCTGGAATCACACCATGCCAGTTTTTTCAGTATAAGCCATGTAGAGGGAAGCTGCTCTGGTGTGGAACTCGGGCCGTGGGTTGAGGGTAACACTGGTAAAGAATAGGAGCAGAGGAAAGACCCTGGGAATGAGTCTGACCCTCCCTGCACAAGTGTGCACACATCAGTAAGCTGAGGAAGAAGAGCACCTGGCCAGGGGTTGGGGGAGAGAGATGTGAAATATCACTCAGATGAAATATCCCATCCTCGAGGGAGGAAAACTTCACTTAGCTATATTTAGACCCATAAAGACCTAATTTCTCCATTTCGAGGAGGGCTTGAGCTCCTGAAGAGGGCCTGGTTCAGACAGGAGCTTAGTGGGCAGAATGGAGGGATTGACTTTCTCTGTTCACTGCCCTCTTAGATGCTTAGCTCTGGCCTCAGGATGGGATGATGGGAGGATAGATGACTTTTGATGCTTGCTTTTACATTTTATAAGCACAATTGAGTAAATTATATAGGTTTTTGCTTTTCCTTCTTCTTTAAAGAATCTTCCTTCTGCAGTGAGGTCTGTCAACAGCTCTCCGATCTGTCATGACTCCTGAGCCCGGAGCTCTGTCTTACCTTTTCTCTCCCTCTGTGTGGTATTCAGAACCCACACTGACTTATAAAATGCCTATAAACAACAAAGACACACCAACTTTTCACTAGCAAAATAACAGTCAAAATGGAGAAATTCAGAAAGCATGAAAGTGCTGAAGCACAGTGTTTTTGCAGCTTTTGGGGGAATGCCAGGGAAGAGCAGCCACCCCAGTCCACACAGCCCATCAGCTGGCACTCTGCTGGCAGCCAGGTATGTGAGTGCATCAGAAGGAAAAATAATTGCAGCCTCTGCATCCACAGGAAGAGTGGGGTAGAAACAATTGGCTTTTATCACGGGTTTGGGAGAAAATGCCCATATTCACTTAGGAAGAGCAACTCAGTCTATTTTACCAACGAGATCTTTTTACCAGCGGAAAATGACATGAAAATTACAGAATTTTACCTCAAGATGATTCTACCTTCATAATATTTTGGTAGTTCATTTCATAACCATACATTATGTCTGTTCTCTGCACAGCGTTCTGGTGTTCTGCTGGTGAGGCAGCAAAAAGTTTGCACAGATATTGAGGCTGTGTGTAAGACCACATTTATTAAACAAACACACTTAAGTTAAGAGATAGTAGGGCTGGAGCGATAGCACAACGGTAGGGCGTTTGCCTTGCACTCAGCCAACATGGCTGACCTGAGTTTGATTCCTCCGCCCCTCTCAGAGAGCCTGGCAAGCTACCAAGAGTATCTCGCCCGCACAGCAGAGCCTGGCAAGCTACCCGTGATGTATTCGATATGCCAAACACAGTAACAACAAAGTCTTCACTGGAAACGTTACTGGGCCCGCTTGAGCAAATCGATGAACAATGGGAGGACAGTGACAGTGACAGGGACAAGCCCAAGAGAAAAACCATGGCAAGTATAAAGGAAAGAGAAGAAGAGGAAGTTCGCAACTAACTCAGTAAATAGAAGTAATTTGCGGGGAGGGAGGGTTTATTTTGTCCTGTTTTCAAATTCTAGCTGCATCATGCTTTTTAATGAAAAAGTAAGATACATGGATGTTAAGAAATATAGATTTGCATCCTATAGTGGAATCTATTTTGTGTTATGTGGACTTAAGTCACTAGTGTTTATAATGTGTTGGGAGCTAAGAGGAGGAAGAAATGATAATGGTGGAAGGCATGATACACCTGCCAAACGCCGAGAAAAAAAAAAAAAAAGAACGCTGTCCAAAGTAGTAGCAAGAGAGGAAGTTCTGCTGGAAGATAAACCAGAGGGATCTGAATCCTCTTCTTCCCTAAATAGCCAGCCATGACTGATTACTTACTCCAAATGTCAGGTCTTTTATATACAATCAGATTTCATTTTAAAACCAATACTGGCACTAAGAATTATTCTTCCCCGTATAGAGATGAGGAAACTGAGGCATCACACTGGCTGGTAATGTTCTGAAGTTCCCATAGTAAAGGCAGCTTAGGGGGGATTTTCACCCAGGTGCCCACTGGAGGTATCCTGGGAACTTGGCACTAGTCAGATGAGCCAAGCAGAGCAATCACAGAGCCCCCAGCAAAGGCTTCACTTTGAGATGGATACTCAGTGAGGGGTAAAATAAAGCTCACCGAGTTACAGTGTAAAAAGGGTTCTGAGTTTCCAGTGACTTCAGGACCCACAGAACTGACAAGTGATTCGGTGGACAAGAGAACTTGTGGCGCCTCAGTGGGTTCTCTCAGGGAGGACTGGGTTTCTGTCAGGGTTTAAAATAGCACACGAAGAACCCAAGAACTTGAGTTCAGAGTGACAGAAGCCTTCTGGTTCCATAGGACAAGTGCTAAGAGACGTACCTTGGTTGTCGTTTCCAGGATGATCTCTTTGTGCAGCAGTTCAACCACCATCTTCACGTGGCCTTCTTTAGAGGCCAGGTGCAGGCCGTTCAACCCATTCTGTGAGGGAAAGAGGCGAAAGGAGCTCGGTCAGTAGGGTAGTTCATGCATTTCCCCGAGGCTGGCAGGAGGTCTGTTCCTGTGATGAGAGGCACTGGGCAGAGACAGAGACCACATAGCCCGAGTGCAAAAGCAGACGGCAGAGCCAGCCGCCCAAGGCTCTTCTGTCAGAACATCCATCAAGGCAGAGAGAGAGAATGCTGAAAAGACTCGCTGGATAGAAATTAAGCCTCCAAACTCATAAAACCAATGGCTGGCTTTGAAATTCAGATCTTAGCCAAGTATTAAGCATGCACATAATAAAAGTAATATTGTTTTTCTAATTTTCATAGCAGTAAACAGAAAAAGCACAGCAGCAGCTCTGCTGTATCTAAAACACTTGTAGAAATGAGGAAATATATAGCAAAATGATAAATTTGGAATTAGGTCCCACAATAACTAAAATGCCAAGACCCACTAAGGTATAGGATTCCCTGAATGGAAGAATCAGTATTAAAATACCCCCTTGCCCACCTTGGCATCTCAAATATGACCAAAGACTAGATGATGCTTAAGTTTTGGGGGTGGGCAGGAGCCCAAGCAGACGTTTCCAGGCCCAACCATTAGCCACAATGACAGAGCTCTCTAATCAATTAAAGTGTGCTCAGGCTGACTTTCACTGCACTTTGCAGAGGCCACACTTCTCTGCTGATTACTCTCAGGCTTCCTAGGCTTTTGGGCTTGGCACTTAGATGGCTTGAAACTTTCTGGCAAGAGTTGTCAGACTTCAAAGAGTGCTACTTACAGTCAACAACTAATTCTCACAAGAGAGAACTAAATTTCTGTTCTGATGGGCGAGTAGGTTCTGATTTAATATTGCAGATGACTTTAGTCAGTAAGCAAACTTTACCCCTATGTTTTTTGTTTTGTTTTATCTTCCTTCTCTACCACAATTCACTCTCCTCGGGCACTCCTCCTTCTGACCTCCTCTTTTAATGAACTCTCTCTTAAATACTCCTTCTCAGGCTACTGCTGGCTCCTAATTATAAAGACCCTTATAATTAGGGTCAATCAGTGAAGAAACTGGTTCCTGACTTGTTTGATTTGACATGTCCCTGATGTGTTTATCCCAAAACATCCCTGAAGCCTCACTGTGGCTCCTATAATTCCTAGGCATCGTTACCTGTAGATTCCTGTTTAAACACTAATATTCCTCAAAAAATATTTTTTAATTTAGGCACTGTGATTTACAAAGTTATTCATAGTAGAGTTTTAGGCATACAATATCTCTATCCCAATCCCACCACCAGTGTGACATTCCCTCCACCAATGTCCCCAGGTGGCACTGCCCACCCCTAGCCAGCTGTCTCTTTGACAGGCATAAATTTAGGCTTGGCTGCTGTAATTTGGATTTCATGCTCATAGCATTATTGAGTCTGTGGTTTTGATGGATTCCTATACCTCACCCCTTCACCTTGGACATGCCAGAGGCACTGCCCCTTTTTCCTCTTACCTAACTGTTCTTATTCTTCCCAACACAAATATTCTACCAGCACAAATATTAGTGGTCATTCACTAGCCCATTCACAGGTCAGATGTATTATTTTGCTAAAATTGCCTCACATGTTTAAAAAGAGAAAGTTCACCTACTTCCTATTTAGGTAAGGCCCATCCTAGACCCTCAAACACCCAGAGCACAGCTGACAAAGTCTTAACACATCAGCACACTCAGTTTTGCCACGTGGGAAGGTCCCTTCACCTGCTATTTCCCCTGTGCAAATATCTAATATTCACTATTAGATTTCTTCCCCTGCAGATTTTTCACACCATTAAATGTAGAGCCCAGAGCTGTGGGAATTAGTCACACCCATGTATTAATGAGATTATCATATAAAGACAATGGGAGAGTCAGTTTTGATAATAGGAAGAAAGAATGTGATTTAAAAGCAAGACAGAAATTTGGGAGAAGGGGAAGAGTATCAGAGGAAGTAAATCAGCTTCCTTCTAATCAATTTGCAAAACCCAAATTTACTGGAAAGCAATTTGTCAAGTGACTAAACAGAAGCTGGGTTTTCCTTCAGCTCTGACACTTGGACTCTGCCTAGGGACCTCTCCTGCTGACAGTGCTCCCTGAAGTCCCTCCTGCCTTATCTGGGAGCATCTGATGCTTGAATGCAGATGTGCTGGAATTATGTGGGACTTGGGTGGGGCTGCTACGACAGGCCCTAGGGCAGCTGTAATGTGCCTTTTGCTGACTCCTAGGCCTTCAGTGTTTACTCGGGCTCTGCAACCACTCCCCACTGCCATTCCTTGGTCTTTCATATCTCAAAGCTGGAACTTTCAGAAGGAAGAAAACGTAATGTTTTGTTTTGTTTTAGTTTGGTTTTGGTTTGGAGTCCGTACCCAGCATGGTCAGGGGGCTATTTCTCACTTTGACCTCAGGACTGGACCATATATGGTGCCCAGGGTTCAAATCTGGGTTGGCAACCTGCAGAGTGAGCATCTTACTTCCTCCTGTTCTTTCTTTCCATACCTGATACTGCTCTGTCTGATTGCTGTTTGGCTCTCAGGCCAGAACCTCAGTCTAAGGTACTCAGGATAGATGGCCTAGAGAATGCTGGTATCAAAACAGGTATTAGAGATTTCTAAATGTTGAGGAAACAGAATTTTTAAACAATTATCTCAGGCCTCCTACCTTCCCTAGGGCATAGACGTACAACCAGCCTGTGTTTCCCAGAAAAATAACAAAGGTTTTAGATCTACAGTACAATTTGACAGTTTTAACAAATACGTTTTTTAGCTTTTAGTTTTTAGGCATCTTTTGTATGAGAGAGTAAGAGCATATCACCCCTCCTCCCACCTTTTTGGTGATTAGGCTGCTTAAAGCCTGCATGCAGTTACCATAATCACTCATGTGGGCTGCATCTGACCCTGTGGCTGGTGTCCAGGGTTTTAGCCACTGTCTTGAATGCATAGAAAGCCTCTCTCCTCCCTAGTTGTGTTGGGCCTCCCTTCCCAGCTGCTTCAGTAGAAGGAGCATCTGTAGAATAATATTGGTATGTCCTTTCTCCCATGCCGCAGGGAGCTTAGATTTATTGGGTTTCTCCATTCACAGTGTTCCCAAGGTACTCCCATTTCTCTGAGTTTAACTTTGCTCTGCTCTTGTCCCCATTTTCCCCATAATCACCATTTTCCCCTAAGCAGTTCTTGTGACTTGTAAAGTCAAATTCCTCAGAAATCTCTGGATTTGTGTTTGTAAGTGAAATATTGCTTTTCTCCTTTCCTTATGTCCTTTGCATAGTTTACGTCAGAGCAACGTCCTTTTCGTATAGACACAGAAAGATGGTTAATGCTATGCTTTGTAACTTGGGAGTTAGTTGACTCTAAATAATATTCACTCCTGGGCATCTGTTTACCTGACTTAAGCCTCAGTTGCCCTTAATTCCTAGCACCCCAAGGCAAGGTCCCGACGATGGAACTGGACAAACTGTGAGCTATCTTGGCATTGAAATGGTACAGACCAAGCGCTGTAATACTTAAACAAGTTAAGAGCATGGTCATGGACAAATTCTGTCATGATCCAAAGAGAAACAACTGGACAAAAACTCTGCTTAGGGTTAAGAAGGGCCATCTGGCCTGAATACTGTTGTCTGAGATCTATAGTGAGATGTCCCCAGGAGAGTGACCCCATAAGCTTAATGTATCTCTTACTGTGTCCATACAAAATGACTAATATTATTAAGAAGTACAATTAAGATGAATATTTAAATGGTTGTTGGACCAAGGAAAGGAGAACTGCACCCCTAGATGAAATTCCACCCTTGAGCAGATCTCCTAGCAGGGAATCTTTGTCTTGGCTCATGGCTCATGACCACCGAATGCACGTGGCAAGTGAGAGAGCCCTCACTCATTTATTTTTTGATTACACAAGCAACCTTCGATACGAAGACCCTTTGCAGAGATCAGTATATCTTTCTGTTGGTTTATACTCAACTCTCAGCCCATTTCCTGAGTCAATGATCTCTTTCTTCGTTTTGACTTCTTTTTCCACTTTTTAAAAATGTTTGTTTTCAACACAGTTCCCCTAAGTTACTTCCAAACTTCATTACTGTGGTAATCTGAACCCCTTACCCTTATCAGACAGATATTCAAGAAAGTACTGGAATCTAAGTGTGGACAGTCACGTAAGAAGCAGGGCTTTGAAGAGCCACTGCGAGGCATTTCCTTTGAGCAACATGAATCTAGCAAACATTCTTCAAAACCAATTCTGAGCCCAACATTGGGCTTGAAATGAATAAAACCTTATTCTCGACAGTCTTGGACTATTAAAGGAAATGTGCCTCAGAAATAAAAACCCAGGGAAGACTGTCCAGGTGGTGTATGTGAGCACACTGGAGAAGAGAGCCCTTCTGCCCAGAAGGGCTCCCTGGGGGCCTTTCCAAGGTGACTGCACACAGGGAGGGTTAACAAGTTCATTAATAGGGGAAGGCGAGAAGCCATATGAAATTTGAAATTTAAACACATGAACTGAAAATTTATAAACCAGGTTCCTAGTCATTCTCATTTTGTGCTCCTCTTGCTTTGATAACACATCTGAGTTGAAGGGTTGTACAAAATCTAGAGGCACAACCAACAGTAAATTCTCTGTAGCAACTGGGCTCTTCAGGAGGATAACTGAACAGTAACAATAACAATTCATGATGTAGCTGCTGATGTGATGAATACCTGAAGACAAATTTACTGCAATATAGGCTAGGTATAATTTATATAAATGCACAGCTAGTCAATATTGGAGATCACTTCTATTACTTATATTCAAAAGAGTATTTCAGAGATGAATACTGTGCTTGAAAATTTATTTTTCTTTTTTTGCTTTCTAGACTTCACCTGGAAGTATTCAGTGCTTACTCTTGGATCTACACTCAGAGATTACTCCTGGAAGGGCTTGGGGGACCATACGTAGTATTGGGGATTGAACCTGGGTGACTAATATGCAAGGCAAATGTCTTACGTGCTATCTT